AAATAATTATTACTTTTAATATAAATAAGATTAGGAAATTTAGTAATATTTTTAAAATATTAAAAATAATAAAAGTAAATTAAGAATATGAAAATATTAGCTAAATAAGTAATAATAGGCTAATAAATACTAAAAGAAGTATTTATCTTAATAAATAAAAAAATAAAAAAGGAAATTAGAAAGAAACTTAAATAAAGCTTAAATAAAGCTTAATTTTTTTTAAAAAAGGCTTAAAGAAAAAAAATAAAAAATAAGAAAAAGCTAGATATAATATTATAATTAAGAAAAGAAAAAATTAGTTAATAGGAAAAGAGAAGCCTTTTTATAATACTTTTTTCCCGAATAATAATTATAAATTTGGAACTAGCTTTATATTAGGAATATCTAGAAAATTTTAAAAAAGAAATTTATAAATAAACTAGAAAATTAAATTAAATTTTCTAAGCTTTTAGATTTATAAAATAATAATTTATTTATAAATAAAGGCTAAATTAGAATTTATAAACTAATTAGAAAACCGGAAAAGCTTTCTATTTAATAATATATACTATATTTATATTACTTTTATAAAAGGAAATTATTAGAAGTAATTTATAAGTTAGCTAGATAAGATTAGTAAATTATATTCTTAAGTTTATTATTTAATATAATAATAAAGTAATTATAAAAAGTTTTTAGGAAAAACTAATAGCCAGAAAGATTTTAGGGAATTATTTATAAAGCTATTTATAGTTCTTTTAGGCTTTTTAGAAATAAGGGCCTAGAGAAGAAATTAATATAATAAATATATATAATAATATATAAATAGGTATTAGATATTATAGATCTAGTTTCCTATTTTAGGTAAAGCTTATAATTAGAATTATATAAGTAATTAGAATTATATGAATTATATAGAATTATATTTCCTAATTAAGTAATATACTTTATAGGCTTAGCTAAATACTAGGAAATATATAAGAAAATGCTTCTAACTTTAGAAAAAGATATTAATTAGTTTTTTATTAGAATTAATTCTTGGAATTAGTTATATTTATAAGTATTACTTTATAGCTTATTTACTTTAATTACTTATATATTATTCTATTATTATATATCTTATATTCTATTAGTCTTAATTCTAGTAATAGCTCAAATTCCCGTTTTATCTATAATTAGTATACTAATATATAAGTTTATAAAAGCCCAAAATCTTTATATAAATATATTTATTTTACTAACTTATATACTTTAATTAAAAATCTTATTAAATTAATAATAATATATTTCGGAATTAGAAGCTATATAATATATTATTTAACTATACTTTTAGCTTAAAAATAATTAATAAAATAATATTTCCTTTATTTTTAATAAGAATTATAAATTTATTATTAAAAGTAATAGAAAATAGTTTTATATTTTTATAAGTAATAAAAGAGCTTTTATTCTTATAAAATAATTTATAATACTCGAATTAATATATTAGATATTAATAAAATTATTATTAAGTAATTAGTTATTAAATAGAATATTAAATATTAATTTTCTAGTAATTAATTTTTTTTAGTAATATAAGCTTTTTTTATAAATAGTTAATAGAATTAATAATATTTTCTAATTAATAAAATTAAAGTCTTTTCTATTAGAATTAAAATAATTCTAGTATTATGGTTGTACGCTCCATGGCTGTCACGTGCTCCCTGCACGTGGTATGCTAGGCTATATTGGGCTAGGCTAGTTCGCATGCTTACCTGGCGTTCGCATACACTTGTATATTCTTCTCTCCTTAGTTTAGTATTATCGGAATAAGAGCCACTCTACCCTGCTTTCCAAGCCCAGAGCCAGGCCTCGTAATATCTAGACTAATTTATATATAATATAATCTTTAATATTATATTCTTTAAATTTATAAAATATATAACAAATATTTAAATTTCTTTTTTACTTTAGCTTATTTAACTAATTTTTTCTATTTCCTTAAATAGCTAATATCTTTAAAATAATATCTGAATTAAAAGTAAAAAGTTTAGTCCTAAGTTTCTCTTTTTTAATAGAAGTATTTGCTTTAAGTAATTCTAGTTTTAATTTATTAATATTAGTTCTAATAGAATTTAAAAGAAGTTTATATAAGTTATATTTCTTTAATAATTTATAAATTAGGTATCTAAATATAGAAATATCTAAAATTAATTCATTTATTCTTTTAATTTTATTATACTTTACTGCTTTACTAGTAAATTTAGTATTACGTAATTATAATAATATATGCGGCTAGCTAGTATTTAGAATACTAAAGCTCTTATATATATGAGCTTCTTTTTTTAGTTTAGAATTCTCGGATTAAGAGCTACTCTACCTGCTTTCCAAGCCCAGAGCCCGGTTTTATAATAAATTTTAGCTATTTTATAACTAATATAGTTAATAAAATCGTTTATTTCCTTAGTATTATTAAATATAATAATTTCTAATTATTAAAGATAAGAGCTTTCTTTTAAGATTTTAGCTATTTAGCTTTAGCTTAAATCTGGCTCTAAATTTAGTATATAAGCTTAATTTCCTTAAATTATTACTAGATATTATAAATAATAAGTAAGCTTAATATTATTCTAGTAATTATAATTTAAAGAATAATTAATTTATTATTCTTTGGAATTATTTCTATAAGAGTAAAAGCTTAATTAGAATTAATAAATTATTATAGATCTTTAATAATAAAGAAGTTTATAGTATTATTTATTTAAAAGCAAATATTATTATTCGAAAAAGGCTTAATTTTAGTACTTTTATAAATAATATAAGTTAATTTTTTGGAATCTAGTATATTAGATTTTATAAAGAATTTCTGGCCAAAAATAGCTATGTTTTTAGCGAATTCTGCTAATATAAAGCCGAATTAATAAATAAAATTCATTAAAATTAATAATTTTAATAATTTTTGGAAATGGTTTTGGAATAGACAAGTGAGTACTAAGGTCACGTGACGTTCGGATTACTTAGTAAAGTATTAGCCGGGCTCAGAACCTATAGGAAAATAATTAATATATTAGAGATTAATAGTTTATAGAATAACTAGATATAAGAGAATAAAGTCTAGAAATAGAAGAAAAGTGTCTAAGGTAAGGGATTTATTCTTATTACTCTTTAGTAATACCGGTAATACCGAGCCCGCTTTCTCTAATATATTATTAATTAGCTAATAAATTAAAAGTAATTAAAATAATAATATATTAGTAAGCTTAATAAGCTCGGTAAGTAATATATAACAAATAAGAATAAAGAACCCTAAATTAGTAGTTAAACCTGGTATTAGAAAGACTAGTAAACTAGTTATAATAGTATACTAATTTCAATATTCAAAAAGCTATTTCCAGAAAGCTGCTCCCTAAGAAGCTTTTTATATATTATAATAAGCTATTTCCCAAGAAGCTCTTTATGTATTATATATAAAGAAATCACTAGATATAGCTTACTGTAATATATAAAGAGCTTTCTAGGAACGAGAAAGCGGGCAGTGTGACGGCTGGTGTCACATAGTTGATACGGACGTGGTTTCAGCCAAAGGGGTTGGTTTCAGCTAAGGTTCCAAGCTATGGTTCAAACCAAGCTCGCTTCCAAAGCTCGGCGTTTCAGTGGTCTTGGCCATACCTACTTATCCACTGCCACACCTCACTCCTTCCTCCTTAGCTTTAAATTCTCAAGATATAGGAAATCATTGATCTTTGAGCCTCGTTCCATTACTCTGTTCCTGCCGTCACAGGCAGGGAGGGGGGGTTCCCAGATAGTTTCCTGAGGGGCAGCTCGCTAGATAAAAGCTATGGTGCCTCAGGTAACTAGCCTCATATATTCTCTTAAGGCATACCTTACCAAATTTATATTATCTTCCTCCTATATCTTTTCTCTGGGAGGGCATCTTATTACAATATATAAAGAGCTTTGCGGGAGAGTAGCTTCTGGAAATAGCTTACTATAATATATAACGAGCTCTCTAGAGAGGTATTTCCTTAGAGGGCAGCTTCCTGCAGGGCAGCTCTTGGGAGGGGGCGGGGGACCGGGGGCGAGGGGGCAGCTTCTGGGAGGGAGCTCCCTGGGGCGCAGCTCACTGCAATACGTAAAGAGCTCCCATTAATAGTAAGTGCGAGTCTCAGTATAATTTTAGTATAATTCCAAGCCTAATTTTTGAGTACTATGCAATTTGTAGCTTTGAATTCCATGATTTTGGTATTCTGGTACTCAAGTGCTCGAGTGCTCGAGTGTTTTGACCCTTCTTCACCGCCTAAAATCCTGCCCTACAGTAGTTGGAAATGGTCACCTTGTAATGACGACTAGGCTACCGCCTAACCGCCCACACCGCCCAACCAAAAATCTAAGACTTTTGAAAAAAAAAAGAATGAAAAAAATTCTTGCCATGCTTGGGATTTGAGTTTGAAAGAGAGCCAAGAGATGGGGAAAACGGGTAGAACGAATCAAGACGTTATGCGACTCGGGGGCTGACAATCGAAGGTGGTTGGTTGTGTTTGTAGAATTCCGGATGTTTCATAGGATTCCGGGCGAAGCCCCTTCATAAGACGTACGTGCAACTGTCCATCGTTTCAGATTTGCACCTTCAGACCTTTAAATGCTGGGAGGAAGTTGAGTCTTGTATTTAAATGAAGAGATGACGCGAAGAAGAGGTGAAGTGAGGTTGAAGATTTTCGGCAACTCGATACCGAACACACCGTGCCGAGCGTGGCCTTCCTACCACCGTAGAAATCTGTACAAGGTTCCCCCATTAACACACTTCCCGACTATACTTTTAAATATTTTCTTTAAAGTTACCTGAATGTCGATGTTCAGAATCATGAGATGTAGAAAGGTTGATTTCTAAATCCTGAAGAGTTAGGGGAAGGCTAGTATTATACTAGCTTTCTCTCCTTGCAACCCCAGATATAAAGAACTAACTTCTCATCCTATACAAAGCACTGAACCTCCTAGACTAAATGTCTGGGAGCGCCCTGTTTCAACAAAAATTGGTATCGCTTCAGGTCATGAAGACGCTTCCGCTCGGCTCTGGTTTCTTTACATACAAAAGCTAAAGCCAAAGTCTAGCGCTCCGAGTCGATTCGCGGATCTTAAATGCCGTGTGATGCATTGTCTTCCTCTCTCGCGAACCGTCACTTCACCCGTGGTCCTCTCTCCCTTCGTCTGGCTCGCTGACTCGATGGTCCTCGGCCTAGGCCTCTCTCCCTTCCCCTAGCTGGTTGGTTCCCGCTTCGCCGGCGTAGTGTCCTCTATTTATTGATTAACTTCCCCACATCATTTAACATGATGCTCTCAACCCTCCCATTCGTCCTCCGTGGATGAGCGTCATTCATCTGCACGCTCCAGCCTGCCCCCCATCCAGGAAGCGCTCCCCCAGCTCCCGCTAAATATATATCATCGTTCTCATCCGCCCTCCTTGTGACCGCATGCCCGCTCGTGCTCGAAACAGAGCAGTCATATCCATTCGCACTTGACTCGCTCCTCGCCTGCCCATGTTCCTTCTTTCCCCTCTCCCCTTTCTTCGGCAACAATTCCGGACTTGTCATAATCCCTAGCCTCTCTCTCTTGCCTCTTAACCCAGGACTTTTTGGACCTAGGTTGGGTGATTTCACGTAATTGAAGCCTGCTGGCTTTCCTCCGGAAAAGGGGCCAGAGCGTGCCCACCAGCCGAGGAAGCCGTTGGAAACGGTGACAGACCCATCCCGGATGTCGAGGGCTGTGGAGACTTCGCCGGCGATCTCTTCCAGTGTCCGCCCTTTGGTTTCGGGGAGGAGGAAGGAGACGATAGTGCCACAGAGCATGAAGAGGGCGAAGATTTGCATGAGATGCTGGATGGGATTAGTCTTTTTTTGTGATGAGGTTGAGAAGAGAGGAAATGAAAGATTGGACGAGTTGGAATTCACTTTTGTACTGTACAACTGTAAAAAGAAAATCTGAGAGGAAAGGGGCGTTGGAAAACGTACCGGAAGCCATGGCGAGCATTGCATGCCTTGGCAATTCGGTGATGCGCCTTTACCAAGTAGGGGGTTCGCAATAACCTGCGCAATGATGGCGCCAATTTTGCCGCCTGCAGCGGAGACTCCGTGTCCTGTCGAGCGGTAACGTGTGGGGAAGCATTCTCCTGGAATGATGAAGGTAGTTGTGTTGGGCCCAAAGTTGAAGAAGAATTGGGCTAGGACATAGAGGGCGAGGAGCGCTTTCGAAGAGAGCGCGTGGTAAGCAAATCCGATGACGACGAAGATGACGGTGAGGAGAAAGAAGCCCATGATTTGGATGGGCTTACGGCCCAGGGTATCTATAGTTGCTACTGATGTCCAGTAGCCTGGGATCGAGCCCGCACAAACGAGGACGAGATTACCAATGGCGGTGTGCAGAAGACTAGCGTAGACTGTGTCGCCATTGTAGTAGCCGATAGCGTTTAATACAATGGTATTGTTTAACCCGAGGCCATAGAAAGCCAAATCGAGGAAAAACCAGGATGCCGTTGTCGAGAAGATGACTTTGAGGTTCTGCCATTGAGAGAAGTAGGAGAACACATCTGGCCAGGATGCTTTGGGTACCGCCAATTTCTTACCCATCCTTTCCTTCGTCTGTTGCTGAGAGAGGGGATCGACCACCCCCTCTTTCTGGTTCTTCATGTAAGCCTTCACATCGGCCTCAGCCTTTTCGATATCGTGCCCAACATCAAAGGTGTATCTGGGTGTTTCGGGGATCGTGATCCGGTAATACAGCGCGAAAACGGCGGGGACGCCACCAAAGCCGACGATTATTCTCCATGCTCGATCACCTGCCAGCTGACAATCATCCCCACAGCTTGACCATGCCCCCGTGGTGTTGAGGAAAGACCCCTTAAAGCCGACGGTGGTTATCAAGGCAACCAGCGCCGCAGCAAATTGACCAGCTCCTTGCATAGAAAAGACGGCGGCCATCATCGCACCACGCCACCGTGTTGGAGCGAACCTACTCAATTAGTGAACCGCACTAGACTCAATTGGAAATGGGGTCATGTGTGGAAAGATCGGTCCATTACGTTCTCTTGAACCACAATATATCAATCTGAGAAAGGTCGAACGTACTCTGAAGTGATAACAGCAGACAATGGGTAGTCTCCGCCAATACCGATTCCCATTATTACTCTCCAGAATACCAGCAGTCCAGTCATCGTTACAGCGCTACTCGGGGCTGACAGGGACTGGGCCAAGGTCGCGATGATAATGATAGCGAGCTCCATTCCGTACATCTTTCTTCTCCCAATAAGATCTGCAAGCCATCCAAATCCAACTTGTCCTATCACAGCACCTCCGGATGTTGCAGCTTTGAGAGCAGTGCTGACGTTCGTAGGTAACACCCCTTGGTTGGTCTGCTGCCAATATACCATACCTAGAATTGAAGTAACTAGATTGATGGCGAAAATATCGTACGAGTCCGTGAAAAACCCTATACCTGCCACCACGACCGCCCTGACGTGGTACCTAAATGAAAATAATTAGAGAAAGTTCTTTTCATGAAGTTGCCCTGTTATATCTTCGCGTTGGTAGATATAATAAGACCTAAGGTGATTCCGGGCATTGTAAAGAACTTACCATCCGAATGGAACCTTATCAATCTATGATGACATCAGTGAGTCTTGTTCCATAATGCTGAAAGCCATGTTGCCGGCCAAGAAGGGATTCCTACCTCTGAAAGCGCCAACCTCCTCCGGAGGTTTGCATCTTGAATATGTGAATAGTCATTGTGAAAGTTGTGGAATGCGGCGTTTCCGCCGTACGTGCGTGTATATGTCGGGGGTACAGCCGACTCCCCCAGGAAGTCGTGGTCCATCTTCGAAGCTGCTGTTCCTAGCCTAAGCCTCACCTAGCTGGCAGTCTTCACGGAGTCCAAGACAGTGGCGACAACGACGACAGTCCTCGACGAGTACGGGAAGAAAAGAGTTTTAAAGACGCAGCTGCCTACACAAACGCGTCCGAAGAGCTCGCTCCAGAGGGGCGATTGAAGTGTTTAGCCCACCGTGGGCTGCTCGCCGGAGTCGTACAAAACGGCAGGAGGCTGAGTCGAGTCGATGCACAACAGGTACGGGTGCTGTACGACCGACCTGGGTGCCTTGAAGGATGGCAAGGTAGCTGGCTGGCTGTCGTCCACGGAAGGATGCTGAGGATGCTGGTGATCCTGATGATGCTGATGATGCTGATGATGCTGTGAATAGTGATGTCGTCGGATGGTGTTCAGGAGAGGTCGGTTATCGGCTGATCGCCGCCCATCGAAGCACGAATAGTTGGGTCGTTCAAGTAAGAAATGGGTACGTGGGCGATGCAATCAAACCCCACTTGCGTCCCGTTTTGCCGTTTTCGGTACTGGGGTGGGGTGTGTGACTGGACCGACAGTTGATCCTGGGGTTGCCAGTCCGCCCTAGCGCCCGCGCTGCTGAGGGAGATGGAGGTTGAGGTTGTGCTTGTGCTTGTGCTTGCTGCTGACGCTCCGATTGGGCCACAGGCATGCATAGACGCTTCCAGCCACAGAACCACAATCCCCAGTTTCTGGCTCTCGAGGGCCCTGGCTCCAAGTACAGTATTAGAAGCGGGCAGTAATCAATTATTGAATCTGCATGGCTTCAAACTTCAAACTCGAGGCTGTACAGTACGAATACAGGATGGAATGGCGGCCCAACGAAGAGGCAAGCTGCGTGCCCGTGGGTGACGGGGGGCCGCAGAGGGGCCTCTCTCTGCCTGCCTCCACTGTTTTAATAACGAGGGGCGTTTCCAATGGTGGCAGAACGGATCTCTATTCCCAGGTTCTTGCTTTTTGGCGGCTTTTTGGCGGGGTCTGGCGTTTGAAGTCGTCAGTGACGGCATTCGCGCCCCTGGAATCCACGGTTGGCCTGTAGATGTTCGCTTTCCTGCCACGAGGACCCAGGATGCCGCAACACACGTTGGGTCGAAGGGGGGCGGGCGGGCGTGCACCGGCTGTTGGGCAGTGAGACGCCGACGGCTGGCGGTGACAAGTTGAACCCTCCTGATGAAGTGATGGGCGCAGTTTGTTTGTTGCACGCTCTCGAGCGGCCCAATACTACTACAGCGTGAGTGTGAGCGTGAGTGTGAGCGTGGGAGCGGGTGCAGCAAGGTGGCGGTGGTTGTCCTCCTCGGATCGAACTACCAATGCTGAGCAGAGGGAACAGAGGGGCAAATTGCTCCCTCACTCAATCATGCGTGGTTCCCGGGTAGGTGGTCGAGAGTCGAGTCGAGTCCAATCGAGTTCGTCGTATGTGCTGTACTGCTGCTGCTGCGATGCTGGGACGAGGGCAGTGAAAGATGCCAATTGTGTGCGGATGGATTTGAGGTCGTCGAGTCGTCGACACACGTGGGCGGAGCGCCGGCTCTGATGGGTCCGTCCGTTGGAACAAGGGGCGCGGCAAAGCGCAAGCGAAAAACGCCATGGCTTGCGCCCCTGGTCCCCGCCTGGTCCCTGGAGAAGTGAGCTGAGCCGCTGCCGAAAGTGACGGGTCCACGAGTCACGAGTCATGAGTGACGAGCGGACGAGCTGCCGCATTCGATTTTGGCATGTTGCGAATTTGGCTCCCTGCCTCTTGACTCGGTCGCCGCCGCCAGCATCAAACGAAATTGGTGGCGGCCGTGGCTTTCCCGGCCACCGGGGTCCAACGGATTGCTGGCCCGAGAGAAACAGATCGGCTGGCGGGCTGGCCTGGTCGCCGATGATGGCGTCTGGAGTACTTGTACAGCCAGCTTTCTCTTGCTGTTGGAGACTTTCTCCACAGAAAGGCTGACAGTCCAGCGCCGACCGGACTGAATCCCCCTGAGAGTGCCTTGCATCTCGAAGCACGCTTCATGCAGCAATCAGGGAAGACATCGACCCTCGGGTCTCGCTTTCTTTCCATCAGCAGAGGCAGCTTTGCAAGAAGGAAACAGAAACAGAAACAGAGCCGGCCCAAATGCCGAAATACACGTGCGGTCGGTCTGGCGGTCGGTCTGGCCCCTCTCATCTCACAAACTTTCCTGGGGACAGGGTTTCCGCATTGAAATCCCGCGCAAAAGCAAAGCAAATCACCCTCAACCCAGACCTTCTGGAAAAGGCGTGGGGGCGCACTTCCGGCAACGTGGCTCTCTGCCGGGGAACTTGGCCTTGGGAACTTGGCCGCGAAGGCATGGAAGGGAAGGCTCACGGTTTCACGGGTTTCCCACTAGCGACTAGCGTCAGATAAGCGAGCCTGCATCCGCTGGATTCAGGGGAAGACGCGCGCCAGTGGTATCACCAGCTTCAGGACTCAGGAGTGACCAACTAATCAAGCTCCAGCTGGCTGACCATGCGGAACGTCATTCGGTTACTATTCGTGCATCTGCCTCTCCTTTCCCTCGTTGCGGCTACTCGTCAACGCCAATTGCCGACCCGCGAAGGTATCAAGTGGCTGCGGGAAGAACGAAGTGCTCTCGTCCGCCTCGATATTCCTGAGCTGCCCCTGTGGAATACAGAGGAGCAGATCGGCGAAGACCAACCGAGTGCTCTGATCTTCAACTTCACGCTCTCTCACGACAACCGCATACTTGCTCTCAATGGCATTCCCATCCTGCCCCTCGAAAACGCCTACGTCCCTCCACGTCTCTTCGCGTATCAGACCTCGGAGACATTAACCCAATTCGAAAATGATACTATTGCCGACTACAACAACTGCCCCCTATTCTTCCTCGACTACTCTCGCATAGTCCCGCAAGCCGAAGATGGCTTCCAGCAATTCTACAACTACACGCCGAGCCTCAACCTCGACATCCTGGGGGCGAGCATCGCGGGCTACAATGCCCTCCTCCCCGCCGACAACCAACGCTTCATCCGCCTCACCCTCCACCAGGTCGAACCACGCTCCACTCCCATATCCCTCCTCTCCTTCAAAATCGCAGATATATATCTAGAAGATCGGGGCCCCAATAATCAGTTCAAGAGCCCAGAAAGTTTGAAACCATGTACGGCATGGTCATGGCTTTGTCCCGACAAGCCAGCTTATCCTTGGTATCAATACATATATCGGCAGAATTTTGACGAGTATGGGAGGATTGGATCGATGCGCCATCTTATACATATGAAGTGGGCGACCTTGATAGAGGTGTATGGCGTTGCCCAGGTTGCCATCATTAGTTCCGCTGTTGGAATTGTGATTCTTTCACTAATAGGATATGGTATTTATAGAGTTTTCAAGAGGGCGCAAGAGTTATGGCAAAAGCGGCTTGGAGATATCGATGCGTGGACGGCGGATGAGGAGATTGGAGGGCTGCTGGATGACGAGGAAGAGGAGGAAGAAGGTGATAATTATGTTGGTAAGGACGTGGTGGAGATGGAAGACTGGACTGGGAACGCAGACGCTGAGAAGCCTCTGCCTCCTCCTCCTGTTCCTCCCCCAGTTCCTCCCAAGGCTGGAGAGCCTTCTCGTTCATGAAGTCATGAAGATGGACGACTGCACATAATACCCATTTGATCTTTTGAATATATCAAATACCCCCACGTCTCTTGCCCACCGCAAGCGTGTAACCGTCCAACTGAGACCTTTCTCCGCGAAGCGAGCGCCACAACAGAAGGAGCAAGTCGCCACCCGAATACCCGGGGGGATGTCATTCGGAAACAGCCACGGGAAATGTCTTGCATTTGCTAATCGCATGGGGGCATTTGCATGACTGAACTCCTGCTTCTGCAAAACCGACTCGCACTTTTAATGCTTGTCCTCAATTATTCTCACATGGATCTAGGAACAATTTTTCCCTTTCCTTGCTTGGTTTTCCGAAGTTACCTAACTGCTTGAACTCTATCTCCTGATGCCAGAGGGGTGTCAAGTCTGCATGATGCGCCAAGAAAGCATGTTTCTCTAGCGCCTGCCAAAAGCAGCCGCTTCGTCCGCGACTTCGCTTAACCATACCGCATCTGGCAGGTACGTCAAAAATGTCCAAAATCACCACAGAGGGTACAGAGATTGTAACAGTCTGCCCAAACATGCTTTTTCCCGCAGAAGTCACAGCTGACTCGCAATTAGGGATGGTACTTTACATTACAGCCCGAGTACGTTACGTAAAGTATGTAATTACAGCCCCTAAGTACTTTACACGTTACCTTACAGTCATGTGATGCACTAGCCCAATACGGAACACACTATACCTAATTTGGAGGCGGTGTGGTCTCGTAGTAATTTTGAATCTTCGCAGCTGAGAAACTCTCCATTATTAACACTCTCCATTATTAACACTCTCCATTATTAACACTCTCCATTATTAACACTCTCCATTATTAACACTCTCCATTATTAACACTCTCCATTATTAACACTCTCCATTATTAACACTCTCCATTATTAACACTCTACTCTCCATTATTAACACTCTCCATTATTAACACTCTCCATTATTAACACTCTCCATTATTAACACTCTCACCACCAGGGAATTAATCGCCATTTAACGAGCTAATATGGCAGCTAATATTTAGCAGAGCGCCCGAGAGAAGGTAGAAATCCATGGAGCCTTTGATAAAAGATTTGTACGCGAAGACGGGTCCATATTTAAGGCTATTCCAGAGGTTCAGGTCACAATTCAGGGTACACTTCAGGGCTCACAGGAGTTTCAGGGGGGGATTAGTACTGGTTTTCAGGGCCTTCAGGGCTTCCCAAATCAGTACGATAACCTGGATTTTCGGGCGTTTGGGGATAACTATTAGGACCACGTGTCCAAATTATACTCTCCTTTATGCATGAATTATACCATATTTATACCTAATTTACACGAGCTTGAGTACGTTACGTACGGTAAAGTATGTAAAGTGTAAAGGTTACCATCCCTACTTGCAATCCATCCTTTGCCACCTGATCTGCCTGCGGCTTGAGCCGCATCTCCTCCACTGCATCATTGGCTCGCTTTAACCACTCCACATCAGGCTCAACAAACTCCAAGTCCAAATCATGCCATGAAGGTTTCCCAACCACCGGGAAGTATCTCAATCTCCTTCAATATCTCGATATCTCTGATCTCATTGCAGAGCAGAGGGAGTAGTGCTTCTTCGCACGTCCAGGGGTGGTCAGTAGGGTAGAGATGCGTCTTGATGATTGATCGAACCATCATCTTCCGCCACATGCAGATCAATTTCTCCACTCCGGTGCAGAATCTCTAGATGTGTGGAACGCAAAGACGAAGACTCATAACCAAATCGTAATCGCAAGCGTGTTCGCGTTCAGGACAGGCAATAGCGCAAAGATGCCACTTGATCTTGCCCTCGAACTTCAAGTACTTAAGATGAGCCTTCTTCGGTCCAAATCGTGTACACAAACCGCGAGAATGGGTCGAAATATGTCCATCCAGTCAAACCACGAAGCGAGACATGGCTCTTGATCTAAGTGATAATAGATGGCATCGACTTGGTCCGTCCAATCCTCCCACCTCTCGGCCTTATGCGCATTCGGGCGGTAGACCATCCCCTTCGCCATGACAGATGGCAGACTCGAGATGCAACTAGGATTATTCATTCAAAAGTAGAACTCATTGCCGCGACACAGCATCTTATTTCCCCTTTCCCACCTCTCCTAGGAAGTTTCTCAGGAACGAGATATCAACCATCTTTCAATCGATCCGCATCTTGTTCTCCGAAGAACAGTCCGCTGAGATCGCAAGCGTTAGATTTATAAGTATAATTCACAAACTCGTATTTATTAACTGTAAATGGGAAATAGTTCGTAATACTAATTACTTAATACTACTTCCCTAGAGCATTTTGCTTCCGAGGCTACCTCCAACTCTCCTCTCTATATATCAACTTAATAATTATCTTTATTTTTCCCTCTAATATCCTTTCCTTAGTAAAATCCCCCTAAATTACGAATTTGGTTAAATCAAGAAAACCTTTTCACGGCGCTTGGTATTCCGAATATGAAGTCACCCATTGATTGGGTAGAGACTAAAGAGTTGAATCAGGACGCCACCGCACGTGGAAATTTTTTTTATTTTTATATATCTTTTTTTACAGAGGTTGGGGAGACGCGCTGGTTGGGTTTGCTTGCTTGCCTTTCGCAATTGGCGCTTCTTGCGATGGACTCCCGAGATAGACACGGTGATTCTGACCTTGTGGAAAAGGGTTGAGACGAGATAGATGGGAAGGGGATGGTGTGTAAATTGTGGCTTGTGAGCGGTGGGGATGGAAGAGGCGAAACGTTACGGTAGTTGACGGTCAGCACTGCTTTTTTAGCTCTGAAGAAGTAGTTGAAATAGCTTACGGAGGACGCGGCCATAAGTCTTGCAACTGGCAGGGGTGGGCGCCAAGCCTAAGAACGCCACATAGCTCTGGCATAGCAACGGTGCTTAGGGCCTCAGTTACCTGAAGGGACATCGCTATTAGTAATGTTTACAGGGCTTGAGTGCTGTTATTTAAGCATGACAAGCCTGTAAGGCCCTGTAATTATGGCGCTCTGGTTGTCGTGCAACGCCCTTGAAATTTAAGCGAGTGTGGCGTCAAACCCTGACAGTTGCAAGACTTTTGGCGCGTCCTCTGTAGAGCGTTGCAGGTTCACTGCAATTTTAGCTCTGAAGAAGAGGTTGAAATGGCTTGGGGCTGAGGCGTTTTAACCGATTGCAGAGGCATCACCCCACCAACCCGCCCACACCCCCTTCCCGCTCAACTTGGCTTTTGGAAACCTTAACGCCACAAATTCGAAGGAAAAAACCCCCCTTAATACGATACTCGCAATATTTCGAGTATTCTCTATAATCTGGAAAGTTTTTGGAATTTTTCCAAAGACTTTGAAAAATCGAGAAAATTGTGGTGGGGTAGGCGTGAGCGGGAAAGGGGTTTAAGCTGTCGGTGACACTTCACTGCAATTTTAGCTCTGAAGAAGGAGATGTAAGTACCGGATCCATGGAGGATATTGGATTGTAGGGAGCACTGCAATTTTAGCGTATCAAAAGGGATCTGTAAAGTAGGATGGGTTGTGAACTTGTTAGGTGGATTTAATCGAGGTTTTTCTTGTGGACGGGGCTTGCAGCTGCACTGCACTCTTAGCCCCAAAAAGCAAGTTAACGAATTCACACTTTATAGTTGATTGTCTTTCGTAGGTGCTGAGTTTTCGTGTGATGGAGCCTCTGTGTAATGGAGCAAGGTTTGAGGCTCAAAATTGCAATGCAGTGCTTTTTTAGCCTCATGGAAAAGGTTGAGAAAGGGGCCGGAGGTTCGGCCAGGGCGAACCTCGGGCCCCTTTGGCCGTACCGTGCACTGCAATTTTAGCCCCGAAAAAGGAGATAAGAGGAGTTGGTTGGTATTCAAGTTACTTTGGGCGGAGCCTGCACTGCAATTTTAGCCATGAGGAAGCAGATAACGTCCATCCCTGCGTGGCGGGACAAATCATTGGTACTTTGGCTTCGTAACAATGTAGTCCCCGCACACACATTCATCTCCTCATAGTTCTGTGTCGATTGTTTCCTCTAGTAGATCCTGGCCACTAATGCCCCAACTAATTAGAAAACTACGGTCGCATCGTCGCACACGCGCTTGATTTGCGGAGAGTATCCTTTCACGGCATAACAGGCTTTGTTCATCACAGCAACGCCATTAAGCTTGTATCACCATCGAGACTCATAGAGGCCCTTATCAAACCCTTAGAGTTCCACAGCAACACTGGGAAGTTGTCATCAGCCTTGTGTCTGCTGCAGCGCGTAGATTTATGCAGGGTGGCCACACCGATCGGTACCTCTAAGCGAAGTGATCGACCGTTCTAGTTAGTGCAAGATGACGCCGTACTAGGTACTTCTCGAGTAATGTATACAAAGCTCCGTAAATTGATTTATTCGTTTCAAATTTGAAATTTTAGTCACGTGCACCTTAAAGCGGCCACGGACGTCCGGCGGTGCCTTTACTGTAGTGCCTCCCTAACGCAGCTCGCCCTCATCCCGTTACACCAAATGTCCATCTTTGCCGGTCTTGCAAATACAATACCTGCTGCAATTGTATCCTTTTCAATGCGCATCTACGCACTTTTGTTGGCGCGACTTTCTTAATACTGTATCTCTACACAAAATCGCTGGTAGAGCGTTGGGGGAGGCGGGGGTGGCGCCGTCTATGAAATGGACGATGGGAAATGTTTGTCTTCGCATGCAAGTGGATGGATGGCCAGCATGCGCCACGATGCAGCCTCGTAGGCAACGCATACGATAACTTCCTCACGATCAGTCCTTCGAAGTCTGCCTCCCTTCTGTCGACGTTCGAGTCACACGAGTAGCGCTTGCCCTAAGATCGTTCGCGAACCTAGTCCCATGGCTCTCATACGCCTCTTATACCGCAAACCCGATGGCGAGATCGTCTTTCGCGAACCCACCAGCGGCGATGTCCCTTCCTACACAATACTCTCCCATACCTGGGGAAAAGAGGAGGTCAGCTTTCAAGATATGGAAGCCGGCACGGCGAGGAGCAAGGCTGGCTGGAGGAAGATAGAGTTTTGCGCGCAGCAGGCTACAGCAGATGGACTGAAATATTTCTGGATAGATACTTGTTGCATCGATAAAAAGAACGCTGTAGAGCTTTCGGCGGCCATCAATTCGATGTTTCGGTGGTATCAGAAGGCAGTGCGGTGCTACGTCTATCTTTCAGATGTCTCCCTTCACGGCGAAGGCCAGGGCGGACAGTCCAGCCATCCATGGGTGGCCGCATTCAGGAAGAGTCGATGGTTCACTCGAGGCTGGACGCTTCAGGAGCTTATTGCGCCGGCACATGTCGACTTCTTCAGCTCTAGGGGCGACCGACTCGGGGATAAGCTTTCGTTAGAAGAAATGATCTGCGATATTACCAGTATCAACAGAAATGCTCTCAGAGGTGATGCATTGTCTACCTTTACCATTGGTGAGCGGATGTCTTGGGCAGAACACCGCCAAACCACCATTGAAGAAGACGAGATCTACTCGCTCCTTGGAATCTTCAATCTCTCGTTGCCCCTTATCTATGGCGAGGGAAGAGAGAGTGCGTCTAGACGGCTTCGAGAAGAGATAATCAAACTCTATAAAGGTTAGTTCTGACTTCTAGTAAAGGGAACCGGATAGCACTCATAGAACTAGGTACTGATTTCGAACAATTTTCTGTCGGCCTCGACCTCTCGACCCTGCCGCAGTCGGTTCAATTTGTCGCAAGGTCGAAAGAGCTTACCGAAATGCATCAGATGCTTCACGGCCACAGCACTCGATCGATTATTGTCCTTCATGGTCTCGGGGGGATCGGAAAGACTCAGCTAGGTCTCGCCTATGCTATGCGACACGAAGAAAAGTTTAGTGCAATATTCTGGTTAAATGCAAATGACAACGATTCTCTCAGGCTGAGCTTTCGAGCCGTTGCTCAGCATGTCCTGAAATATCATCCTTCGACCAGTCTGCTTGCTAGCATAGACTTGGACGACCTCGACCGAGTAGTGCATGCGGTCAAAGCATGGCTCGATCTTCAGAAGAACACGCGCTGGCTGATGATCTATGACAATTACGACAACCCTCAAATAAGTGGCAATGCCGATAGCTCCGCAGTTGATATACGTCGATTTCTCCCCGGATCTAATCATGGCTCAATCATTATCACGACACGATCGGCGCAAGTCAGGCAAGGTCAACGTCTCCATGTTCAAAAGTTACTAAACGAACAAGAAGGTTTGGAGATCCTATTAAACGCATCAGGACGGAGGGATATTCAAAGTGGTATGTTAAAACGACCTGAAGATGCAAGATAAGAATTATACTAATAAGGAAGACCCCGATGTATTAGCACTAGTCAAGGAACTAGACGGCTTGCCTCTTGCTCTGTCCACTGCAGGTGCGTACCTTGAGCACGTAACGACAAGCTTCTCGGATTATCTTCGGCTCTACAAGGCGTCGTGGCTAAAACTTCAAACAACCAGTCCACAGTTGACTTCATATGAAGACCGTTCGCTATACACGACATGGCAGATCACCTTCGACCGGATTGAACAACAGAATACTCTATCAGCCAAATTGCTCATGTTGTGGGCATATTTTGATCGACAGGACATATGGTTTGGACTCCTTCGACATATCAATTCCACAGACAATAAATGGATACAGAAGCTCACTGAAGACGAACTAAACTTTAATGAAGCTGTTGCGCTGCTCTGCAGCTTCGGGTTGGTTGATATAGATCGGTCTCTCCAGTATCAGTCCGGGCCTGGAAGGTATAGTGTACACAGTTGTGTACACTCGTGGACAGTATTTGTACTTAACAAGGAGTGGGATAAGGGCCTCGCAAAGCTGGCCTTGACTTGCGTGGCTTCAAAGGTTCCTCATACAAATGAGAAGGACTGGTGGCTCTTACAACGGCGACTTCTTCCGCACGCGACGCGACAAAACGTGTTTATAGTAGATGGTAAGGTAGATACGGACGGACTGGACTGGGCCTTTTACAACCTAGGCAGCCTCTACAAACACCAAGGCAAGCTGGCTGAGGCCGAGAAGATATACATTCGGGCGCTGCAAGGCTATGAGGAGGCACTTGGACCGGACCATATATTAACACTCAATACGGTCAATAACCTAGGCAACCTCTACCAAACCCAAGGCAAGCTGGCTAAGGCCGAGAAGATGTATATTCGGGCGCTACAAGGCTCTGAGGAGGCACTTGGACCGGACCATATATTGACACTCAATACGGTCCATAACCTAGGCATACTCTACGCCGACCAAGGCAAGCTGGCTGAGGCCGAGAAGATGTATATTCGGGCGCTGCAAGGCTATGAGGAGGCACTTGGACCGGACCACACATCGACACTCAATACGGTTCATAATCTAGGCATGCTCTACACCGACCAAGGCAAGCTGGCTGAGGCCGAGAAGATGTATATTCGGGCCCTGCAAGGCAAGGAGGAGGCACTTGGACCGGACCACATATCGACACTTAATACGGTCCATAACCTAGGCAACCTCTACGCCAACCAAGGCAAGCTGGCTAAGGCCGAGAAGATGTATATTCGGGCGTTGCAAGGCCACGAGAAGGCACTAGGCCTTGAACTTGTGCCGTCGTATTTACCAGCGTTGAACACTATGATCAGCTTTGGTGACCTCTTCTCGCGAACAGATCGGAAGAACATGGCAAAAGAAATGTACACTCGCGCATTGTCTGGATACACCGCAGTGCAAGGACGTTCGTCGACGTGGTGTACTAAGATCGAAGGTCGGCTTCAGGCATTGCAAATTACGCCGGCCAAGAGCGAGACTCAACATACGCCTAGCATGACTGAAACGACCGTCTGCGGAGGCTCTTCCGCAAATTGAGAACATGGGTGGTGGTTGGACTTCCAAATCTGAATGAGATCGACACTCGCAGCAAGCACCAAAGGCACAGCTGGCGGCCCATGGCTGCTTTAAGTTACACGTGACTAGGCGCTAAAGTTTAAGTGAATGCATTACTGTAATTATGGAGCTTGTACGATTACGTGAGACATGTGGGGTCATCCCGCGCTAGCTAAAAACGTTAGTCGCTTCGCTTAGAGGTACCGGTCGGCATGTCCGCTTTCACAAAATTTGCGTGCGACAGTAACCACAAAGCTGATTATGACTTTTCAGTGTTGTTATGAGACTTCAAGACTCGGATAAAAGTCTTTCATAATTTTTGACAGTGGTTCATGCTTAATGGTCGTACTGTGGTGGAGGGGTCCTGTTGCGCCATAAAAAGAGGCTTCCCGCAAAGCGGGCGCAAAGGCGATGATATGAACGTAATTTTTCAAGTGGGCAGGTCACAGGTATTTAGGAGCAGGAAGAGTATACAGCGGATACAGAACTTTGAGGGAGATAAATATGTGTACAAAAAGTGAATTGTTACAAAGTCAAAGTACCGATGATTTGTCCCGGCACGGCCGGCGTCCCGCTATACAGGGAATCAGGGATGAACGTTAGTCAAGTTATGAGTGGTTGCGTGTCTGAGGCTTGCAGTTGCGCTGCGAATTTAGCAGGGGAGGTGTGGAATCAGGCAAGCTTTGGAATGTTTACTTAATGGTACTTGTAGTGTATTTGAAGATGTAAACCATGGTTTCGGTGATAATGAGAAGGAACGTGGGACTATGTAATGATTTGCACTGTAATGCCATCGCCGAGAGGGTGTTGCAAGTGAGAATTTGGGAAGGTACATTGAGGATCGAACTGCAACTTTAGCGTAAAAGAAGATATTTAATGGGGCAGTTGGCATTGTCGTAATGTGTGGTTGGATGGAGTCCGGGTCGAGGCTCTTATGGTTGCTTCACATCTTGTTGCATATACCTTGTAAGATTACTATAGTTTTTCCGTCAAGTGTGGTTGGTCGAAAAACGAGCATTGAGGCTGCTGCAGAGCAAGTACTTTCCAGGTTGCACGACTGAGACGAGGCAAGTGAAGCTGTTTCCTATCCCATGCAACACAGACCAAAGATCACACTAAAACCTGGTGGCCGAGCAAGTCGTACGAGGCATGCAAGGATAAAGTTTTGATAGGATGGGTAACGAGGTGTTTTGGCCGTCGCAGCTGAGCTTAATGTGTTGCAAGCAGAAATTTGGTGGGACACCCACTGGCTCGCGGTGTACTGCAATCTTAGCGTAGAAGACGACCTTTAGAATATGTTTGAAAGCGTGGTGTGAAATATGATTGGACAGAAAATGAGGTTCTGCGGCCGTTGAGGCTAAGCTATCCCTTCGTCCGGTGAGACAATGGCGGTGCAGCTAGGGGCTATGGACTAACTGCTACCGAAATCGTGCACGCAGCTGTCATCCTCCCCCTTCTTGACCACGGTAAATGCAGCCAAAGCCACATACCGTACCTCCACGCAGCGCGCCAAAGACGATCTCTCCAGACTCCCCAGCGAGTCGATTTCGTTTTGTGAGTTGTGCATGGTTGCTTCTCACTCACCACAACAATAGTCCTCTACGCCGCTTTTACGTGTTTTGGGGCATTGGGCGAGAGGCTTAGAGAGGGGCATGGCGAGGTCAGGGTTGAGGATCTTTGGTGAGGATTTGATCTTTGGACTGGGGAGGTACAAGTCCAGTTATGGTCTTGGAAGAGGAGAATCACGACGAATACGTGTTTTGGTAAGACTTGTTATGAGGAAGAGGCTATTGTGAGGTTCTTACAAATGGTGAAGAATAATTTGATGAAGGGTCTTGGGATCGGATTTTAGGTGGAGATGGCACCATGAATTAGGGGAGTTGTTCGGCAAGGCAAGATCTCACGAGCAACACTTCAAAATGTCACATTTCTGAAAAGATATAATTGCTTTAGCATGAGGTTAGTAATAAATTCAGTGCTACGAAGACTAAATTTATGTATTCTTTTTAAGTGTAAAATATATCGTTGTTTCATGCTTTTGAAGTGTTATAGATGAGTCTGGTGGTAACCGAAACTCTCGTCTTCAGCATGAGCGAGTCGGCAAACAGTCAATATCACCAATCATGGAGCAGAGGAAACAACAAGAGATCATAGTGAACCGGCTACTAGAAGAAGCATCATCAATGAACTAAGATCAGTCTAGGCTGTTCTGAGAATTCATTGGATGTCCAGTCCCTGGGAGCCCAGCTCGAATGGAAAGTTACCGAAAGCTGCATCATAGATCATCCTCCAATACGAACCCCCCCACCCAATACCCCAAGTTCCTGAATCTACTCAAGAGAAATAAACCCAAGCCATCCGAATATGCATCCAATTTCTCTCAGAAACCTCCACCAGTTGCCGCCGGGTAATAAATCAAGAAAGTGCAGGGCAGCTCTTTCTGAAATGGCCGAAGCCACCACAGAAATTGCACAAATTATAGCACTCCGCCCAGACATGCCCCTCTCCACAGAAACCACAATGGAGGTTCTGTGCTCGAACGGAATCAGCCAACTCCTTTTTGCCTTGCTCATTTATTGCTTCACGCATTCGCTGAGCAGTGCGCTCCTTGAACCAAGCAATGGTTGGTTCAGCGAAGCTCACATCGGGGATACCCGAAACCTCTAGCACTTTTAAACTCGAGATGGTGCGTGCTTCGTTCTCAAGGAAAGAGAGCATTGCTTGCTCATGCGTGACGGGTTCACCATCCCAGGGTGGAGGCGGAGCAAATCCCCAGCTGTCGAAGGTGTCGTGGTACGCATGAAGCACCAGCTTCTCCAAGCCTGTGCAGAACTTGTTGATGAATGGGATGTAGAAGCGCACGCTGTCGAGGAATTCTTCCACGCTCGGATGGCGATGTTCCTCCGTGCACGGCTGGTCTCTAACGGCCCCGCTGAACTCGAGCGTCTTGAGGCGAGCTGCATTTCTAGGGCCGATAAAGTGGAGGAATCGGAGGAAGTGATCGTAGTAGATATAGCCGGGGAGTCGATCGCTAGGTGCTTGGCTTTCCATCAAGGGAATTGCTTGATTAACAGCGATGCTCCGATCATCCCCGCCGGGTCTATAAGGCTGTGGTCTGAATAGAACATCCCCCGGAAGCAAAGTAGGAGGACTTGATCGCTATGCTGTGTCCACCATATCAAAAGAGAAACTGTTTTTGCCGTAAAGCATGTCGATTCCAGTGCGATAGAAGTGCGTGCTTGTTCGCAATATCGTGGCATCGATCAGCACCTGAAAGACGTGTCGGACTTCGAGGAAGGCTTCATGTTTGTCTGAACGCGGAGACCATACCGTCTGTGAAGGCGTATCGAATGTGCTGGGACGGTTGTGGTGTTTTGGGGTTGCGAAGGAAAAATGGGGCGTGTTCCAACAAGTGCCCCAATTGGAACTGATCACGGATGGATGGAGTGAATTTGGTTGAGGTATGGCGAGTACTTCCTTCAAGATCTGGTCCTGGATCTCTGGATATTGAATCAGCGCTGTTTAGTCACCTACAGTGGCGGGAAACTTACCTGGAGGGAATTTCGAGAAATGTCTCTTGTGGGTACGTGGAAGTTTCCATCCTCTCTCGCTGGGATGAGCAAATAGGGCGCTATTTGCCTTCGGCCGATCGATCTGCTTCATGGTTTCCTTGTATTTGCGAATGTAGAAAACCCTATTCCCGACTTGGTGCTTAAAATAACCTGCTCCTCTGGACCGCGACTTGAAGTACTCAATATCTAGAGGTGATTTAGTATTTGAAGAAGAAAAAGACAAGCGGTCCAGACAGACACATACCAGGGCCCCAAAGGCAACGCTCTCCTGCTTCATTGAGGAAGAACAATTTTGACGCTTTATTCTTAATGGCCCCTTTGTTCAAGGCCGTGTCGGGGTCATCTTCTGGGCACCGCTCCTGATAAATCTCCCTGTAAAGAGCAAGTTTCTCGGCATCGATCGTTTGGTGGAGTGCCATTCTGGTGAGAAAGAAGTAAGCAGATGCAATCAGAGCTGAGATCAAGGATTAAAGTCTGTAGTAATTATTGAGCAGTACTGTCAATGATTGAGTTGAGGTTAGAGTGGATGGATTGAAGTTGTGGGTGGATTGAAGTTGTGGGTGGATTGAAGTTGTGGGTGGATTGAAGTTGTGGGTGGATTGAAGTTGTGGGTGGATTGAAGTTGTGGGTGGATTGAAGTTGTGGGTGGATTGAAGTTGTGGTTGTTGTGGAGGGGCAGTTGTTTGGAAGCCTCTTAAATAAGATAGCAGTTACCGATATTTCTTTCATAAGGTGAGGAAATTTACAAAATTTAAAAATGTGTAATGAATCACGACTCCATTTGCTCAAATTTCCGGTATATGGTTGATAGTGAATATACATATATTACTCATTTGCAACCACGATTGGAAGTGCCCTGGAAGCCTCGAGCACGATTTCACCTTCTCATGCTTAACCTCTTAAGGGGAAACATTGGAGTGCAATTTTGCCCAAACAAAAACCCAAAAAATTGGGAACCAGAGCCAGGTTCAGGTTCACCTTTATCTGACACAAATATAGACGGTGGATGTTGTGAAAAATTGAAGTGTTTCGCAGGATAGAAGTTCGCCTATATCACAGGACAACGGACCCAGAGAGCTTCCAATGTTCAAGGAAATTGGTTGCCTGTCATCAGTTACCACTCAAAATCAATTTTAAAAGTGGTTGAAAATAGTAGGAGGCCGTGGGAAAGCAATATTTTTGGGGGGAGGCTCCTAGTCATCTCGAAGCCGAGCTGTACCCGTTCACATGAAATTTTTTCGAGATCCTTTCCCTTCCCGCAAGCATCTTGCTACCAAAGCTGATTTCAGAGTCTGATTAATGGAAATAGCCGTAATCCCATAGCTGTTGCCATTGATCAGCATTTGCATGCATGCAATGAGTGTCACATGGGTTCCTCCATCACGTCCACGTTGACTCTTTCCCTGTCGAGTTCCCATGAACGTTCTCCTTTTTCCAAGTATCATAAATTTATTGAGAAGTGATCGAGAAGTCATTGCTAAGAAAGGAGGACCTGACAAGTCTTTCTGAAGTGGCCAAAATCTCCGCAGAAATTGCCGAGGACCTTGCTCACCAGGATGTGCTACCTTCGCTGAGAGTGAGCGTTCCTTGGGATGGTCGGTTTATTTTATTGGGGCCTTGGATCTCTGAAAATAATAGTCCTTGTCCTTATCACTGACCATGTAGCCGCTATGGCCACGCTCGCTCTTGTCCTTGTAATACTCGTAACCTGCGGACGCGTCAAATTTTCGTGCCTGCAGGTGCTCATTCACAAAAGACGAACCGGAGCGGTAGATTCAACACTCCCAATCTTCGTCAAAGAAGAAAATACCTGTCAATTGACATTGACGAATGTATGCAACGACGGTCTGATACGGCTCGTGATCGGGGAACACTGCCAGTGCTCGCGATTGGAGACTCTCGGGAATACCCCGGTCGATGGTCTGTTCCAATTGACTTAACCCCATGATCGCGGTATTCAGAAGTTCGTGGGTCGATCAAGAAGAAGATACGTTGTTGTGCATAGAGACGAGGAAGTAGGTGGGAGCGGCTGCTTTCAGAACAAATAAATTGTTGTCTCTCGGAACGCAGGACTGAGATGCCTTGATTAATCACGACCTGGTAGTTGCGCAATTATGTAATTCGCCAACTCAAGTTTTGGGGGAGGCTATGAAGAGTCCAGCATATAAATTTAGCTAAGGCGAGCAAGTCCTTGAAGGTGAAGGGAAATGATCCCAGTTCACTTTTTGTTAGCTTGAGAAGACTTGATATAAATGCTCCCAAATTGTTTGAAGATGGGGTCACTTGATCAGGGTCTCATTCAATCATATCTGAATAGCAAACTCTATTATGGTTCTTGTAGAACTTTGAAGTGTTTGAGGCATAATTCGCTTGGATCGCTTCCCTACAAACAAGCTTCACTTTAATCACAACACAAACTCAGGTCAACAGCATGCCCAGATTTGAGAGGCACGTGCTCTTTTATTTACAAATATTCAAGTCACATACTAAAATTGGAGACAAAAGTCTCTCCGCAGGGATATATTTGGGGCAACTAAAGGGGAACATGCGCGAACTCATTGCTCTTCACTCAAAAACGACTCATTTGACCTCACTAAATTAAAGAAACTGACTCTTGAAATCTACAGAGAATGACAAGAAGAGAAGAAGAACCTCCCTCACTGAGGAGCACCGCTCAAATATAGTTACAGTACCTGATATATCCCCGGCAATCGCCAAGCCTCCTATCTGGTTCGGGGGTAGCGAATTGGCTGGCTGACAGTAAGCCATATGGATCCTCCATCCGACATCGTACACTGACCCAATTGGGGGTTGAGATCGTTATCTCTAGATCTCACGGCCCTTACAGCTGACGCCGTGTGGCACAGCTGCAACAACGTCAAGTCCTGAGATTCGCGGCAAGTGTTATTTTCTAACTTCCCATTGGAATTTACATCGATTGAACATTGGAAATTAACAAGCCTGTTAATGTTGATTGAAGCTTGAGGGCTCACTTAGTGTGCTATCCACCGAGTATCTGGCTCAAGATGCCCCCTCACGATTATGAGCGCGTAAGCAATAATTTCAGATCTCGAATCTTCAAGCATTGTTATTCTCCTTGAAACCCAACGTCTCTCTCTCTACTTGAATTACTTCTTTAAGAGCCCATCTGACCAAGCCCAATAGGTTCCTTTAGAAGAAGACGCCCCAGCCCGCAATCCCAAAAATGTAACCTGCTTCACCGGCTTCCCCGCCACCTCACCACCCAGCTTCCACCCAGCCAAACCGCACTCCTCTCCCCCATCCCTCTCCCAACCATTTCCCCACCAAAATGGCGAGACAGCAGCAACGTTCATACCTCACAATCAACGCCCCTCCCCAATCCCAGCACCGAGGCCACAAACCCTGCTCTCAGAAAGTGTAACCGAGGATAGTGGAATGAGCACCTGGGCACCGTCAGAACTGAATTCAAGTGACGAGGGAGACTTAAATGCCATGGGGGAAGATATTTTAGTGCGGTTAAGGGACCGGATGGAAGCGATTGAGAAGCACTTTGCTACCACTCCTATGATTGTAAGCCCTCAACCCTATCTCTTCTGCTAAACAGAATCCCGAATGGGATGATAGGAAACTTGACTGATGGGGACGTTATAGGGCAAACAAGAGATCGATCTAGAGGAAGCGAAGGAGAGGAAGGAAGCAGCGAATAAGAAGTGGTGGACTGAGTTTTGGATTGGGTTAAGCGTGGCCCTATTTATAATCTGGTGGTTAGGGGCGCTAGAGGCGGTTATTGTACTCCTTACGTGGCGGAAGCATGGTGGTGGTGAGAGCTCGAGTTGAAAGGCAATTTATATACCGGTCTTGGGTTGAGGTTAATGAGGTTGGTTTGGAGATGATCTGATGTAAAGGTTCGATTGCTAGGTGATTGAAATGGGATATCACGGGATCATTTGACTTCAGATTGAGGAACCAATAATAACATATAGGAAATACAACGTGAATTCATTGGTATCTTAAGCGCTCATCAGCATCATATAACAACGCGCACAGCTGTCAAACAAGAATGGCAAGCGCAGCCACCCATGACTTCATACAGAAATAGCCCCTCCACTCAAGTGACAGAAACATTCACGGTCTTCGTAATCCCCCTACTCCCTTGCAACGGCAAAATATTCTCCAACGAATCCCCATCACCATCCACTTTACTGGCACCAAAATCCTCCTCACTTTGTGCTCCGCTTCCCATCTGACTCTTGGTCGTAACTCTCACATCATAATTTCCACTCTTGTCTCCCGTCGGCAGACTATGCATTCCAATCCCCTCTTCTTGGACATAATACTTATGTCTTGCCGTTCCCACCTGGCCAGAAGAATTCATGCCTGCCCGACGGGTGACGAGACTCCGTGTATTTTCGAGGATGCTGCGGAAAAGAGGTCGGAGGGAGGGGAGCGAAGCGGCAAGGATGCCGATGTAGAGTTCGATACTGTTCCATACAAAATAGCTGTCACTACGAGTTGAGTCTGGATTTGAGAGGACGTGGGCTTGGAGGACCGTCTTCACAATGGAAGCAGCGCAGGCACTGTGTTTGTTAGCTCATGTTGGGTAAAGGCAACCTGGGGAACGTCGTACAAATATCCTAAGCTAAGAATTGCCAGTAATGAGAACTTTGTCCGGAGATTGACTTGTAGGTTCCAGATCACACTGATTGGAAGGGATGCAAAGAGGACGTCAGTGATAATGTTGATGATTGAATTGAACATCCCGATTGCAGTGAAAAGGTGGATGTCAAAACATTTTGCGTTTGGTTCGCTGGCGCGATCCCACGAAGCCCTTATGGGCACACAGGAGAAAAGGATCGTCTGAAATCCATCATTAGCTTACGGTCTCTCAGTTAATGACTGTAAAATTTACTCCTTCGCTAGAAAGTGTGAACGCTACCAAAAAGACTACAAGTTCTTTGTCAGCTCTGTATCTCCCAGGAAGTTTCGATTAGGAAGACTGGTATTGTTTCCAAAAAAGGTACGTGTAACATACTAATCATGCCATGTAAGAACCACTTATAAGCTTTCCCGGGTACCAGACGCAACAGGAAGAATGCCACGGAAATTTTGATGAGTGAGATCCCCAGGGTGACGGTCAAGCTGTGAAAGAATTGCCAATGTAGCATCTTCACAAACTCACCCGCAGTGATAGAAGCGGTGTGCATTCCTACCCCGTGTTGTGTTTCGCCGATGAAGCATATTAAAACTCCAACCCCACATATCTAGAGAAAAATCAGCACCATTCTCAGAGTACAGGGTAGCTTTTGAAGCGGCCATGCTGTTTTCAACTACTCCATGGCCAGTCTCATTGAGACTACTAAATGGGTCTTCCTAGCAATGACACGACAGTGTCCTCGAAAATGGTGGAATAGGATTGATAGCAGGCATGAGCCTATGAGTGGAAAAAGAAGTGTCTTACCGTCGCCGCCGTTATTAAATAATCATCCGTTCCAAATGTTTTTAGCATAATTGCACGAACATATATCCGCGCCAGAACCACAATCACAGTAAAAGCACAGAAAAAGCCATTGATTGCCAGAATAGATGGTGCATTTGTCGAAGTGTCTACGGGAGTGGCTGTCAACGAGGTATCGCTCGCCAATCTGAAGATTGCTGGCATCGTCAAGTTGCTTTTCGGATCGTCCTACGACCCATGCGAGATCTGTCAAGATCCAACTGCAAGATCCTACTGTGAGATGGGCCTGCTGGTATTGCCAGCGGAGTGGCGATCGCCGAGTTGTGTTGTATTGATTGAAAGTGAACGCTGGGGTTTGCCTTGGGGGCCCTCTGAGTGCATATCATCAGAGAAAGGGGAACCTTGGATCTGTTCCTACAGGCCATCAAACATTTAAACCACGCTATTTTGAAAAGAAATCTAGTTTGGACGAAAACGGGACCCTGAACTTTCGAAAATTCGAGGTTGGAAGGGTTTTACAACTTCCTCCTTTGGGCTCTCTGCACCCGGTACAGATCGGTACCTGATCGGCGGTGCGACGAGCATAAGACAAGTGGGGGGGGGGGGGGGGGTGGCGCGTATCGATTGTTCGCCGTTGTAAATTAGATGCAGAAACCATTTTAGTGTAGTCGCATATTTGATTCTAGTATGAAGTCACCAAGCCACAACATATATGTGGTTCGTTTGATTCGATAAAAAGTCAATAGCCTCTTCTCGCAAACGACTGCCATCCGCAAAGCTTGGCCCGCCACATGGTGACTATGTGACAGCCGGGATTCGAAAAATTAGAGACGGGTCAAAGTACAGGGGGTTGTCAAGAAAACATGCAAGCCGAGAGATGGACTCCATGTTGCCAAGCCGTTTGACACATCATTCGCAACCATTGCTACCCCCCTAAATATTTGCCAGGGTGAGGGTGGCAAACAAGGGTGTTCCAGCTAATCACAGAGTTGGAATATTATCGAAAGCAAATCGGAGAAAAACTTTGGGCTCGTAGGCTAACATTTATTTAGGGTGGGAAGAGTAATTACAACGTAATGCATGCTGCAATAGGAAAGACCATGGGAAAATTCGAAGAGACGGCTGATCCTTGTCTAGAGTGACAACTTCCACTGATCCCTAGGCTTCTGCCCCTGCTAGTAGCATCTGCCTTAGAGCTTGGCCAACATCTTCGAAGTTTGGGCTTGGGCAATCGGCTACATTATGATTAACAGAAGTAACACTCCTCAACCCACTTGTTGAAACTCTCAGACTTGCGAATTGTGACTGGTCTGCGCTTCCATGAAAAGTTAGGACGAAAATTGTACAGTAGAAACTTTCAATCAGACGATCCCCACCATCTTGATCTAACTTCAGGACATGAACGGGAAGAGGTGGGGGGGCCGAAGTCCGGAGGAGAGGGGAAGAGATGCGAGTGGTTGGACGGAGGCCCCACTGCGGAGACAAAGTTTTGGCATCGTTGTACTACTAGTAGTAGCCGCAAGAAGCGCATCATTTCAGATTTCAGAAGCAGAGGGCGTTGAATTAACCGTATCGCAGATTAGCAACGGGCAACACCCAGAATCTTGGAGGAGGGTCTGGATCTGAGAGCGAAAGTGGCACGGAAGCCATGAAGCGGCGGATGATATTCTTGACCTGGATCGCCGGGGTTCGTCTGGGCTCTGGAGGTGGAGTTGAGAGCGATCCAGCTAACTTGGCAGCAATTCAGATGAGAACCTCCCAATATTTCGTGGAGACTGCAGAAACTCCAGCCCTTGGTCAAGAGCATGCGTGGTAACAGGTGCGCGGGCCCCCCCATAACCATTGACCAAAGACTCAGGTTTCCCGGAACCGGGCCAGGCCTGCCCACGTATCGAGGAGATGCTTGGCGGAGATGATCTGGTAACGCCGTAAGTCCGGGACAGTGGATGTTTGTGCTACAGTACTCCTGGTGCGAGCATGCGATGCTGGCATGCTGCGAGCCATGATGGCGGAACCTCGGAATATCTGCAGTCGTGATCGGCAGTGCGTTTACTGAGTTGGAACTAATCTCCAACCTTTTAGAGTTTGAGGGGGGGCGCTATTTCACCTTCCCCGAATCCCCGGGTCCAGTTTCCCTTGCTCTTCCGTCGTTCTCAAAACCTGCCACGATCCAGGGGCAGTGGGGAGTTGCTCTCTCTAAGCGGCCTTACTCGGTTTGTGCTTTCCCTGATCAGTGATCTCGTTCGAATGACTCGGGAAAGGTGCGGCAAATCGATGCTCTCGAAGAGAATCTTCCCAATCAAGAGACAGCAAGCCTTCCTTAGAAGGGTCCTTCAGCTTCACGAACTCGTAAGTCGTGCCAGGGCCCTGAAGAGCGCGTTTAGCGTCGGGCCCACTACGCCACAACTCTACAGTAATTATCCCACAATAATGCTGTTCACCGCCGCAAGGGTCTCTCGAGTCCATCTGGATGGTCCGGACCGTCCGGTAAGTTCGGCGAGCTGCAGCGTTCCAGCCTCCATTGAACGTCGTCCCTTTCGTCTAATTATTGACCGTTGGGATTACCCCTGAATCTGCCAAGCTCACTCGGCAACCTCCTTTTTTCGGGTTGGTCGGCACGACTTAGGGCTTCGCCTCGTGTCCCTGGGCAGCCAATTTACCCGCCCCCAAACAACCCCAGCAAAGCTTCATATCGCCCCAAGATAGCCCAAACAGCCTTTCCCTTCTGGCTTCTTTCTGCATCCTTCCAATCTTGTTCCGTACCGTTCCTTACAAGCTCCCGCCCGCCAATGGCGTTGCTACACCCGCCCCACTATTCCAAGCTATTGGTTACCCAAAACGTCGAAAACTGGATCCACGACCCCACGTTGCCATGGCATGGAAAGCAATGTCCGTCACGAAACTCTGCCTATCTCCCAGCTGGACAAGGGGATGGCGAGGTTCAAATACTGGACGGTGTCTACCTCTAGGTCCTCTAGCCATCTTTAATCCGCTGTAGGCGGGAAGCAAGCCAGACTTTTCTACGTTTCAAATTAAAAGAAGGACCAGGAAACTCCGGGGATCAACGCACCCAGATCTCTCTAAAATCCTGTTGCTCTTTTTCAAGATGCGTTTCCAATCCTGGGCACCCCTTCTGCTTGCCTCGGCTGCATCGGCCTTCACTCCAGCATCAACAACCAGCACGGACCTGTTAGCTGCGAATGGTCTTCTCAATCTTGCCGTCAACCAGATTCAACAGGCTTTTCGGGGAAGGCAAGGAGGCTGTACATTGGCAAATGTTGCAGTGAGGAGAGAATGGTGAGTGCGGTACTGTCCCAAGAGTGTCTCTTTTACTGATTAGCCAAGGTCAACATTAACAAATGCTGAGCGGAAAGCTTACACTGATGCTGTTCTTTGTCTACAAGCAAAGCCTGCTTTGACTGACCAAACCCTTGTTCCGGGTGCTAAGTCAAGATACGGTAAGTTAGCCTGCTCACCGAAGGAATTGTTATGCTGATGGGACATTGAGATGACTTTGTGTGGACTCACATCAACCAAACACTTACCATTCACGGCACAGTATGCTTCCCAACATTTCCGTGGAGACATTCAGTTACTAACACCAGTTCTCCCAGGCCAACTTTCTGTCATGGCACAGATACTTCACATACACTTATGAACAAGCATTGCGTGAAGAATGTGGATACAGAGGCTCGCAGCCAGTGAGTACACTACTTGGTCCCTCAAGAAACATTTTCTAACAGTTTTACAGTACTGGGTGAGTTTACCTGGTGCCTCTGCTCTTTGGAAATCTTGGACCTGTGCCCTTATGTTTCGAACCATGAGACTGCACTTTATGAAACCAAATTGCTAACTACGACACGCTATTAGAACTGGGGCAAAACCGCTTTTGGTGAGTTCGCTTGAACCTCTGATTGGTTTCTCAGTACTGACATGCTTTCAGATCCTGTCAACTCACCGGTCTTTGATGGCTCTGCATACTCCATGGGCGGGAATGGTGTTTATGAAGCCCACAACTGCACCAACGCTCTCCCAACTGGCTTGAACTGCATTCCCCCAGGACAGGGAGGTGGCTGCGTTGAGACAGGGCCTTTCAAGAAGTATGTATTCGTGACAGCTTTATCCCTTCAATGTGGCACTCCTAGGGCTATACTAACAATCACTCCAGCATGAGCGTCAACCTTGGACCAGTCGCCCCAACCCTGGCCGTACCTGAAGTTGTAGCAACTGGCCCCGGCACGGCCTACAACCCGAGATGCCTCAGGAGAGACGTCAGCGTCTGGGTGTCGTCGCAGGTGAGAAGTCGAAAAGGCACTTCTCTGTCAAATGTCACTGACACTCTAGCTCCAGTGGACCACGGATAAAAATTCATCTGATCTGATCACCCAAAACACTGATATCGCCTCATTTCAAACAGCTATGCAAGGAGACTTTGCGTCAGGCATCTAGTAAGCACACTATTCCCTTATGAGCTAAATAGGAGACAACCTCCAAGCCTCGCTCAAGTACACAGTCACTAACTCCATCTCCTCTACAGCGGTGTACACACAGGCGGCCACTTCACCATTGGTGGTGACCCAGGCGGAGACCTTTTCACATCCCCAGGAGACCCAGCCTTCTTCCTCCACCACGCACAAATCGATCGCACGTGGTGGATCTGGCAAAACCAAGATCTTAAGAACAGACAAAACGCCATCGCTGGAACAATTACCCTGAATAACTCCCCACCGAGCAGAAATGGAACTTTGCAAGATTACATTTCGATGGGTGTCAATGCTGTTGACATCCAGATTGGGGATGCGATGAACACTCTCGCTGGTCCTTTTTGCTATATTTATGTTTAGAAGGCGAGGCGTGAGTGAGTCTACTTCTTGGTTGGGTACTCTGCTTGTACATAGAAAAAAGCATCATAATGTATATACATTTTTAATCGGATGAAGAAATGGAAATTTCTGCACTGGTACTGCTTGCGCCTCTCAAGCTTGTCTGAACCTTGCTTGAAGTCGTGATCCACTGTAAGATCATAATGGTTAAATAAATCTGGAAGCCTTGGTACAATGCTTTGCAAGAAGCGACGAATGAACCCGGAAGGACCGGGACATTACAAATTAATGCATGGCCAATAAATCTGGAATTCGTAGGACATTGCAAATAAATAGAAAAGCGAAAACCCTAGAAGCATTAGAATATTACGAATACAGAAGCCTTAAATATATCTGGATGTAGTGGTTCATTTGCAAATAAGACCTTTCACTCGTCAGTCACAGCTTGAAGACTCGGGGCTTAGAATCAGTCATGAACGATGATGATACGCCAAGCCACGGAAGTGCTCTCCCTTCGGACCGTTCCCCTTTCCGAGCTCAGACAGAGACGGACACAACACACTTCACCACTTCACCACTTCTCTCCATCAAGGCACGAAATTCGAAACGCGACGCCCCCCGCACTCTCCCCAAGTTTCCCCAAGTCTCGTCAGCAGTATCCGCCCTAACTCTATCCTCCCACTTTCAAAGTTTCCACCTCGGACAATCCTTCCGATCCTACTCTGCCGCCATGTTGGCCACTAGTCATGGTGACCACCAACTGGACTCTGCAGATTTGCCAGGGATCCACGCGGCTCGCGGATCTAAGAAGCTGCCGTTCCGCCCGCGGAATCTGCGGTCCAAACAGAACATATTGCCACTCTGACACTCGAGATGCGCAAGGGGTGGAATAGGGAAATGAGTGCGGATCGGTGGATTCTGCGTTTGAAGGGAGCTCCACGCCTACTCGAAAAGCAGAGACGTGAACTACGCGAACTATCAAGAAATTTGACTGGGGAGTTTATCCAGCGAGCGGACAATGATGCAAAACACAGCATCTGTAGAAATCTTGGCTTTCTTTCTTCGCATCTCACTTGAGGACAACTGCGATATGATCACGACGATTAACGAGGAAGGGAGACAAATCATCGAAAGCAGTCAGTCGTACTTAGTTCTTCACTGATGCTATTCGCTCGTGACAACCACCTAAAGAAACGGTAGTGGAGATCAAATTCGCTTTCCCTGTCTCTCAATATATCTCACATTGCAATCAATCTCCCATCTCGCCTTGAAATGCCTCGAAAATATTCCGTTGCTCGCAAGTAAGAAACGCCACCCAATGCAGGCACGCAACGAAAATTAGGTGTCATCTTAACCCATCGTACAGATCAGCCAAGTGTATCCATCCCACCCATCTAGATGCGCCTCATCTATCGTCTTGGTCTTTTCTCCCTTCCCCTGGAATCCGTCTCTTCCTCACTATGTCTCTTTCTTCCTCCATCCTCTCTTGTGCTGCGACTATCTCGTCGCTCTTCACCCCGCATATCGCCTCTCATCTCCCTGCTGCGTCCACTACCTCTTTCTGATCCTCGCTCTGCACCTCGCTCGGTGCCACGCTCACCATTCCATCCAGTTTCATGAGGCTCACGTGCAGCGTCTCGCTCACGGCCATCACGTCGGCTCCCATCTCTCTCTCTCTCACGGTCTCGTTCTCGTCCACTCTCTCGACCACTTTCTCTACCGCTGCCAGCATCTCGCCCAGCAATCAAATCCCGAGCTGGCGATCTGGGTGCATGCCTATCCCGCTCAGGTTCTCGACGTTCGCGATATTCGCTTCGAGAGCGATCCTCCTCGGGTGCCGTACCACGCTTGGAATCCCTCTCACGTCCAGGACTTCTCGAGCCTCTTCTGCTATGGTGGCCAGAGCGCTCTCGCCGTCCACTGCGATCTCTGTCTCGCTCTTCTGTTGGGGCAGCATTGCCTGTGATCAGATCAGCGCGTTCGGGGATGGTAGCTCTTGCAGCATCTCTAAGGGTCTCCGCTCTTGCCGGGGGCGGTCCCGGCGGAGGAGGAGGCGGAGCTGGGATCGAAGGAGATAATATTGGCGTCTCTGGTCCCATTCCAGAAGACATTCTAGCCCGATTGCGAATGTTCCGATCAGGAGCGTTTTGCTGCCCAGCTTGTTGGAGCATAGTATTGATACCAGCAAGCTGTCGTCTCCCACCTCGAGCGGCACGCTCGGTTGCAGAGGCTGGGCCAGTTGGTGCCGCTAGTCCGTTCGTTCCAAGGCCGCCTGGGCTTGGCTGCGATCCTTTGGGGCCCGACGGGGGAAATCCTGTCGCCACTGGGGGAAGAGGTGGTCTGCCACGGATGGTGCTCTGCTGTACCGCTGGTGGAGGCATGACTGGGGATTCCAATGCTTTTAGTCTATCAGGATGCATAGGAGGAGTTGCTACAGCAGGCGCTGGCATCGGCGGCGGTGGAGGCGCAACTGTAGATCCAAGGTTCTTCAAGCGGTCTGGATGGATTGGTGTTGAAGATGCAGCTACGGGTGTACTTGTTGCAGACCCTTGAGAGGCTGATATCTGATCAAATTGACCGGACGCTGAGCGTCTTGGATTGCGACTCGAGGGTCCCGTTGGTGGTTGCTTCTCGGGCGTGGGTGGACGAGGACCATCAACTCTTCTATCCTGACGTGGCGGAGGCGGATTTCGGCTTGTCCTGATATTCCTATCACGGGGACCAGAAGGAATATCTGGGGATGCCGTAGATGCTGGCGCAGGTGCCGGGTTCAAGCGACCAAAATTGGGATCCTCTTGTTGTCTGGGCATTGAGTTTAACCTTCCGTGGTTTGGATCAACTGACCTCGACGAAGACTGGGACGGTTGAAAGGCTGATCGATCGCTTGAGCTTCGTTCGTTCATTCGATCCGACGGTCTATCACTTCGAGGTCCAGCAGGTGGAGGTTGAACATCGTCAGTGCGGTTGCGTGAGGAATTGAAGATATCGGAGGCCCCATTGCGCAGCGATCGATCATCTCGTCTCGGTTCAGAGTAATCCTTTTCTGAGACATGTCTCCTCGGCGACTGAGGCCTGGACGAAACCCTATCTCGTATGTCCTCTCTACCACGTCGAGGGGAGTCGGAGCGAGCGGTATCTTTATCCCCAGATATTAGTGCCACCAGCTCTGGATTCATCGATTCTTGACTCTCAAGATTGACTGGCGGCTGCCTATCGGAGTTGTTGGGAGGACCGCGCTCAGATACTGCTCCTGATGTTCTTGGAGGAGGCATATCCCTTGAGAGTCGGCCATTTTCAGCGCCTCGCGTACTGTTGGAGGTCCTCTCGAGATTCTCCCGGGCAGATTCAGCTGTCCATCTAGGTGGTGGGTCAGGACGAGCGCGATCCCGTTCGCCCCTGGTGCTTCGATCAGACAAGCCGAATGAATCCCTTGGATTTGTATCCATTGCTCGGCGGTCGCTGCCAGAGAAGTCACGGAGTCTATCCCCAGGTCTGTCTCCTGGTCTGTCTCCCAATCTTCCTCCTGGCCTGTCCAAAGCTCTCACATCAGGCAATCGCGAGTCTCGCCCATCTCTCCGGTCTCCGTGGCGAGACGGGTGCCTGTCTAGCATGTCACGGCTCGGGAATGGCGCATCAGGCCTGGTTGGTAGATTTGGAGCGGGCCGCTCAACAAAAGAGAGCCTGGAGATTTCTGGACGGGGAGGGATGGTTGAATCTCTCGGCGGCGGAGTGGCCTTCGCTGCATTGTTTCGTTTGAAAATCTCTCTGTCTTTCAGAATATCGGACTTCTTTGATTCGATTGCTGAGCCAGGGGGCGGCGTGGATCTTGTTTCAGAGTTCGAAGTGACTGTGTTTTTAACAACTGAAGCAGAGACCGAGGTCTTTGCATCGTCGACTTCACCATCTTCGACTTCGGTCGTTGTTAATGGCTTAGGGGTAGTAGCACCACGCGAACTGCGAGATCGTTAGTTTTCATTCCGTTGGAAGTGCCCTTGAGACTAACCTGGATCGTGATTGGGGCTTGAATTCCGGAGCAGTGGGTTTCAACGCGGATTTTGAAGCTGGGGTACTGATGCGAGGGTTTGCTCCTGGAGCGTTACCGTTCGTTTGGGCCTTGTCAGTCTAAAAGCTTGTTAGTTGGGAATTTTCTTTGGGATCAACAAGACCTACCACTGTAATATGCCCAAACGCTTGTACCATAATCCAACTCTTCGACCTCTTCTTCAATCCAACTAGCACGGCATTGCCGGTCAGAGAAAGATCCTCTCTGACGCCCTTTTCCCGCTTCGCTATACCCTCAAGCTGCTTGATGAAGTGGTTCCCCATGAAATCAATGGATGGGTACACTTCAAGGACTGACTTCAATATGGTAATTGCATTCCGGATATGCATCCACTCCACTCCTTCTAAGCAAAGCCGAATAGCTGTGTACATTTGCTGATGCCAGGTAAAGTGGAACCATTTGAAGCCCTTGGTGCCATCGTAGCTAACGAGGGATTTGGGCTTCCCTTCCTCATCCAACATTTTTGCGAAACCTGGTAAATTCGCAGATGCGCCCCAAGCTTCCTTTTCGTATAGAGTAGCGTTGTTGTGCCAGCGGTCAAGGTCAGCCAGAACGAGACGGAGAAATCGGCCCAAGTTTTCGGCCTCACGGATAGTACAAGTGAAGATGATTGATCGCAAGCGGTTGGCTCGGAAGAGATGGCCGTAGAACGAAAGAAGCCGGAAGTGGGGTACTCCGTTGTCGTGTAGAAATTTGACCATCTTGAAACAGAAATCTGCATCGCTCGGGGAGAGCAAGATGCGGGGGATCAAACATTTTTCGAGTATCGCATCGCTCACATCTTCAGCTTTAAATGGCTTAAACCAGTCAGCCTTGTGTCTCAGAAGACGAGCTTTGGTTCTGCCGAATCCTCCAACAAATTTTCCAAATTCGCCCATCAAAGCATCTCGAGTCTGGCTGAGAGCCTCCTTTCTGCTCTCCTTGATTGACATCCCAGCTCGCGTCATGTCCGTTCTGTCTTTCATGACCAGAGACTGCTCATTCAGGAGGCGTGAGATTTCAGTGTCATAGCTCGAACTAGGGATAGACAAATCACCCAATGTGGCAGTCCAGAAGGTGACATAGAAATCTGCACTGATGTAGTTGAAAGCTTCCTTTGGGAGAGCATCCTTAACACCAGTGATTATGGGTTCGAGAATCTCTTCGAATGGGTCCGTAGATGAGGGAGTCAGTGGAGGACTCTGGCTTTTCAAATCTGTCATCGGCGTGTCCTCTTTGACCTCAGCACAGCCGTTGATTACCGCGGGTTGGGAAGCGCTCTCATCGCCGCTTGCCTGAGCTGTGTTGTCCCCACCGTCCATGCCAACATCACCATCAGCATCAACGATAACCGGAGCGGTTCCCGTCGATGCCGCGAGACTCTTTACGGCACCATTTGGCGAGGGCGGTGTGACTTTCGAGATGCGATGGGCTAGACTTGCTCGACCAACCATGAATGCGAGGGCCGGAGCGAGGCCGAAGTCTGCGATAAGCTCCGGTATGCCAGGAACATGTTTGTCAAAGTCTTCAATGGTCAAATTGCTACGGAGAAGATCGAGATACTGAGTCAAGGTTGATTGCGTATCATCGATCATAGTGGCCAGCATCTTGATGTGTGCGTCTTCATCCGAAATCCGGTAAATGGCGGATTGGCGGAACTGTGCAATAGAAATGAGAAGTTCACCAGCGAGATTTGTCTCCACTAGAGCTCTCATAAGCCGATCGCCAGTTCTTATAGATTCAAAACGTCTGTCCTTCAAACCGATGAGCGTTTGCTTCCTCAGAACTGGGCCGCCAGACATCGCAAGAAGCTCTTTGTCGCTGAAGTCCGTGTCTGGAACGATACCGGCCATCTCTGATATCAGCTCTTTTAAGATGACTAGATCGGTAGAATTGCCGCGATAAAGTTGATCGTTGACGTATTGGATAATTGGTGCCAGGTCCATGATTCGATAACGCTTGAAGACTTCTCCCGTGAATTTTGAAAGTGCCAGAAGCCATCGACTTGGTAGGAGAGCAAACTCGGCATTGTTGCGACTTCTCTTATGTCCACCAAGTGCGTTCATTAGAGACCAAACGAGGACGTCGTAGCCAAGGTCCGAAAAGTATTTCGCACATTCAACGACCACTTTCGTTAAATTATTATAAGATTCGATTTGGGTCAAGGCAACCTTGAACACAATGCCAGGGTTAGCGGTAGCCGTTTTGGACAGAGTTCGAGCCATCGTTTGGGCGTTGATCCCGCTGATACGCTTCATAGTACTTAGTGTTTCAAGTCTTGCTCGCTCAAAGGCAATCTTCATTGCCGGTAACTGCGGCGTGACCCTCCCCTCGAACCAGTCTGCGTAGATGGCGTATCTCGTAGATATTGGGTAGAACTTCAGCATACTGTATATCTCATTGACGACCTCCGTGTTGGCTTTGTTGAGACTGAGACTAGGGACTAAGAGTCGTTTCAACAGATCTTGCCATCTGTCAAGATTGCTTTGCGACCGATCCTCCGCGAGACTTTTCGTGCCAATTCTCGCAAGCCTTGACAGTAACTGGGCGTCCTTGCCAATGCTAACACCGGAGATGTTGAGGAGAGTATCGCAAAGAGTGAAGATATCATCGACGTTTTGACACACAGGGATATTGTCCGCCCATTCATCCCAGTAGAATCGATAAGACAGGTTGTCGTTTGTGTCGTATTTATCGGGAAACGGCCAACGTAGCTGCTTGCGAGTTTGCAATTGAGTGAGTCGAACTTGACCCTTTGGCACACCATTTTGATCGGGGTCCGGTATCTTCTTGGTCGGGCATTCTGCATCCTGTATCGCCGTGGGTCGACTCGCGGCGTATACATCCTTTATCGAGTGGTTGAGGATGCGGTTGACCAAATCAAGAAGTTCGGGATGCGCCTCAGTCAGCGCGGGAAAGCGTCCAAGGATGAACAGCGACTCTGGGATTGCACCAATAGTTAAGAGACAGGTCAAAAGTAGAACCTTCTGGTCAGTAGGCTCCCCTAGCTGATCCTTCTCTTCGCCATCTGGAGCAGGTTTCGAGGCTGGATCAGGCTTAGCTGCAGTTTCCCGAATTCTACCATTGTTTGGTAAGGTATCATCTGGGAGTGCTCCAGCCATTGTCAAAGCATTTGCTGCACCACCACCAGGTCGATTCAGTCTCTCCTTTTCCGCTAATTCTGCCTTTCTTTTCTCCATCTGAGCCGGCATGTCCTCATCGGTAGGCCAAATATGTGGGTATACGTCTCGGAGGGAGATGAAGCCAATCTTGATCAATAATGCTGTGAGATACATGAGGTTTGCCGGGAAAGGATCGTCTTTGTCCCGTACGTCGGAAGCGTAGAAGCGTAACTTGAAACCGAGTAGTTGAGCCGCTACACGGTTCCCAGAAGGTGGGAATGTACCAGTCTCCTTGATCCATCGGCGGTCCACGTCAAGCTCCACACTTTCTCCTTCAGCCCCTAATATTCGGGACTTGGTTTCCTCATCAACGATCTGTCTCCCTCCAAGCTCAAAAAAGGCATCAAGTCCAATCTCTCGAGCTCGTGGCCAGAACCGGATATCTCTCTTTTCTCTCTGCTGTCTTGCAAGCTCGTCCTCTTCTTCCGTTGGCGTCCAACCAGGGGAGCTGGGGAGTGCCCATGTTGGCAAGCCTGCGGATGCGACGACCAGATCTCCATCCCCAATTCTTGGCCACCAGGAGCTGACGCGCAGGAGTTTGATGAAGAATCGATAGTGCTTGATGAGAACTGCTGCAAAAACGTCGAGTGTGATATCGAGGACTCTTCCTACATCCAAGTCGAATGTGCCTATCAAGCCTTTCACCCTCTCGAATGTGTCCTCGACCACCTCGGCAGACGGTGGCTCGCTCCCGCTTGTTGTGAAGAGTTCAGTGACGAGTTTCGAGTATCCTTCTGTTTCTTCCCGTAATAGATTGTAGTTCGCTTGTCGGTATAGGAGATTTGTTGCTTGTCGTACGCCAACACGATTGAAAGTGTCTCGAGTTAGGCCTATGTCTTGAAGCAGTCGACCATCAAGCACCTGGCGCATGATCATCGGCGAGATTCCGGTAGAGGCAATGAATGGTCGAAGACTTGGGCTGGTTGGAGTGTTTTGGGGATGATCTGCCTCAACTATCATTGAAAGTGTATCCAGGAAGAATGTTGAGGGGTCAAAAATAACGGAGGTGTTTTCTGCGGGTATTGTATCTGGTCCGAGGATATCCTTCACACAACTGCCAGCATCCGTAGGATCTAACTTCTCATCTAGAGTTTTGCGTATCAATTCCTGGAAGACCGACGCCAGATCCATAGGATCTTCGTCCTGTCGTGCCTGCATGCCTAGTTGGACCACCTCTTGCCGACCAGTGGTATCCCAGGAGGCCATTCGTTCCTCAGTGAGAAACATATAGTCGAATGGCGCCGGATCTGGTTTGGGAATAGGGCTGTGAAGGTCTGTGGAAGGTGTCGCAATTTGCGTCGCGCTTGAAGGTCGCGGTGCTGGAGGAGACATTGGTCCTGGTGTTGATCTGACAGTTGGGTTTATATTGAGCTTGTTAGGATTGTCGCGTGAATCATTCCTACGCCCTCCCCGTCCGCCAAGTCCCCCTTGTCCTCCGCGACTTGATCGTCTGCCTCCATCTCTCATGTCCTGGCCTCTATCGTGCTGGCCAAGGTTCGTATTCTGCGGTCGATGTGGGGAAGGTCGGTTCTCTCCTGCATCGACTGAGGTTCTCTCATTCCTCTTCCTCTTCGCAGGCGCCATCTCCGCCTCGATCCCGATTCCTCTCAATCTCTGCACATGTGTAAGGAACGGGAGCTTCAAGACTTTTGAAGCTGACAGAAATGGCGTTCAGGAATGAGCGGAAATTTTGGAAGTGCTGTTTCGGATGAAGAGGGTCATCAAGTGTAGATGATCTTCAGGGATGGACTTGCGTAATGATTGTGGGGAAATCCGAGGTGTATGTTTTGGCAATAGCTTCAAAATTCACCATCTCGCGGCGCGGCAGGTGAGCAGGTGTTGGTGCTCACCTGCGCTAGGGCTGTTTATGGTTAGCTCTTTCCTCAGCCTCATTTTTCAGCCACTCAAGTTACTTTTTCAACGAACGGGAAAAGTGGATAAAGCCCGCGAATCTGACTGGACGCTGGTGACGACTTCGCGAGTCAACTGCGAGCTCACCGTAACCCTTTACTGGCCTCGAAATAAATCTGACCATCCTTTCCGAACATTTGCTTCTTCAGCTTCGAACCAAAATGGCCGGCACTCCTCCACTTAACGTGCCAGCAACCGTACCCGCACATAAATATGGTCAGTCAGCTCCTTCAGAACTCCGACAACCCTCCAACTGTAACGATGACTGAATACGTCCAAGAAAGAACGCAGCAGCAACCTGAGAACCCATTTGCCTCCTTAATCCCCGATCAGGCCATCGCCATCATTCCGTCCTTCACGTTGGAATCAGGTGTCACCTTGCACAATGTGCCCCTGGCATACAGCACACGAGGAAAACTTTCTCCAACCCGAGACAATGCTATGGTTATATGCCACGCCTTGACAGGCAGTGCAGATGTTGGTGACTGGTGGGGTCCTCTGCTAGGGGGCCCTGGGAGAGCATTCGATATCTCGAGGTTTTTCGTTATTTGCATGAACAGTCTGGGAAGTCCGTATGGTAGTGCCAGTCCTGTCACATGCAAAGATGGAGATCCACAGAAGGAAAGATATGGACCAGAATTCCCTCTCACCACGATCCGGGATGATGTGAAGTATGTTCTCTGTTCTGTTTGCTGAATGCGAGCTGATTGTTTCAGTCTCCACAAAGTTTTGCTGGATGATTTAGGGGTCCGACAAATAGCGGTCGCCATAGGAGGTTCGATGGGAGGAATGCTAGTTCTGGAATGGGCATACTTTGGGCAAGATTACGTTCGATCGATTGTTCCGATCGCAACTTCGAGTCGGCACAGTGCATGGGGGATTAGCTGGGGCGAAGCACAAAGACAAAGCATCTACGCGGACCCCAAATATGACGATGGATATTATCCCTTTTCGGACCCTCCTTCTGCGGGCCTCGGCGCGGCACGCATGTCAGCTTTGCTCACATACCGGAGTCGAAACTCGTTCGAAGCTCGATTCGGACGAAACACTCCAGATGCGTCAAAGAAGCAAACAACCAGCGAGGCTCAGCACCCAGCAGATGTACACTTAGCAATCCATAATGATGGTCATCGTGCAACCCGCTCGCCATTATCAGGGCCACGAAGTTCTGCAAACCTCCATACTGCCCAGACAAACGGGAACTCCAACGGGGACTCCAGCTCTGTCGATTTTACAGATCCTCAGTTTCATTATGCCACTGTGGGCACGCCGTTGAGCCCCCAGAGAACGACGTCGACCTATTTCTCAGCACAATCATACCTTCGCTACCAAGGCCAGAAGTTCGTTAAGCGCTTCGATGGCAACTGTTATATTGCCATTACTCGCAAATTGGACACTCATGATGTCTCCCGATATCGAGCGTCCCCCGATTCCGAAAATCCAATTGCGGATGCTCTTGCGCAAATCGAGCAACCAACCTTAATCCTTGGCATCGAAAGCGACGGACTATTTACCTTTGACGAGCAAAAAGAATTGGCCAGTTACATACCCAACGCACGATTGCGAAAGATAGACTCTCCAGAAGGACATGATGCATTCTTACTTCAATTCGAGCAAGTCAACCAACACATCTTAGACTTTCTGCGAGAGGTCTTACCTGATATTATGGAGGCTCCTGGAAATACAGATGTTGCTGCTGAGGATGGAGTGGGTGCTGTAACGAAGAATAGCACGTTTGGTGAAGCGGAGGTTGAGGATATGACCGCATGGTAGTTATGTTCATACGTTGAAATACCCATTTTCGATGAAGTTATCATAAATCATCTCTCTTTAGTCTTTGTTGTGTGATTTGAATCATTAAGGAGCTATAACTTGTTCAAGTGATGAGGCCCTGACGCCTCGCCTGCAAAAGCGAAATGACAACAACTTTCACAGTTCCACCCATCGAGATGGACATTCACTTCTTGATAGCACGGTTTTAGCACAAGAATTCTTAGCGATGAGCGCCTTTCATCTTTCCTTTTCAACCCTTCCTCCCGCTCAACCTCTTCCTTTCAGCAATCTCAACACCTTGAGCTCGATCTCCTCGATCGCAGCCGCACCACGCAGCTTGTACTGGATGAAGACAACACTTCCAATCACCGCTTCTTCCTCTCTCATCTGGCGATATACAGACGAACCTTTCGGCCAACCTTTTCCCACGAGATTTACAATCGTACTTCACATTTCCCATACACGCGTCTTCTGTTCACGATGTGTACCTTTACAACATCCCACCACTCATCCTGTAACTGCGTGGTCTCCCGCACCACTACTCCGTGCCCCGAGGCTTCCGAGCTTGCAGGCCCGGGGGCGTACCGCGGATCTATCTGTCCTGCTTTTGAGCATGTTAAGGTCGTCCTCGACGAAGGTGAGGCGAAATGTTACAAGCATCGCGACGGAGAGCCTGCAGCCCAAATGATGGGTGGAATGCCGGAGAGGAAGGGAAGTGTTGGTGAGGCTGGAGCTGGACTTGGATCCGATGTTATGGGTCGAAGTTTGGAGAGGAAGGGTAGCCAAGATGAGACTGGGGCTGGACTTGCTTTCTCCGTTCGCCCGGAGAAGAAGAGAAGCCAAGGTGAGGTTGGACTTGTACTCGGTAGGAAGGGAAGCAGGGCTGTCCGGGTCAAAGCCGGCAAGGTCAGGGAAATGGTGAGGAAGTTTGATGGAGCTGCTGTTCAAGAGGAGCCAGCGAGCGAGATCAATACTACTACGAAGGGAGCCCACATGGATAGCAAAAGGAAGGAGATTGAGGGCAAGATGAATGAGATGAAAGCCAAGGATGGCATGGCGACGAAGATTAACAGAACTTCTGGACCAAGACACTCAAGTACGAAGGTCAGAGGAACTCCTAGCCAAGATGAGGAACGCAAGAAGACATATGAAGGCATTCTGCAGGCATACAGCAGTTGGGAGATTAAGAGAGCTTCAGGACCAAGGGATGGCGATGCGGCAAGCGTTCAATCTCTGACCGATTCTGAATTCGACGAGATCTTCGGCTTCAAGGACATGACTCAAAGCACCAACGAATTTCTTGACCACTACTCCGTCGCTCTTCATTCGATCTCACCTCTTGACCAAGATACAGCCGAAGGAGAGGATTCTTGCATCGCTGACATCGCCAATCTGTTCATCGAGTTCCTCGCTCCCAACTCCGCCGTTGCTGAGACCATCTTACCTCTCGCTCAAGTCAACACCACAACCGAGCTCGATCAAATTCCCACCCAAGAAGAGTTCCCCATTCATGGCCCCCGCGTCTCACCCATCGCTGGAGAAGATTCCTACCTTGCCGGCCTCGCCGACCTCACCGACTTGGTCATCGAGGCTCCCTCTCATAATCCCACTATTCCTGAAACCAACTCAACTCTCACCCAAGCCTCCACCACAATCGAGCTCGATGAAGATAAAATCCCAGTCCAGGGAGATTTCCAAATCAAGGCCCCCCGGCTCTCAACTCTCGTACGCCAATACTCTGGCCTCGTCGCCCCCACAGGCGAACTCGACGAGCCCTCATTCCTAGAAGCCAACTTTAACCCAATGTCCCGGTTCTCAACCGTTGTACGGCAATATTCCGACCTGGTCTCCCCAATAACCGATCTTGACAACGCTATCCACGCAGCAAACAACTACTCCGCTTCCTCCCCCTCAACCGCCTCATCCCCCAGCCAATCACCAGACCCCGTTACCCCTTCCCACGAACACCTTGCCTATCTGGACTCACCATCCACTACACCGCTCCTCCTCCAAATCCCCACGCATATCGGCCACAAAGCCAAGCTCTCCAATGCCTCATCGAGTTACCCCGACGACGAAGCTGCTCCCTGTAAATATCGGGGCAGCCATTACCGCTTTTCTAACTACGACAACAACTCATCTGAAGATATTCCTCCCCCTGGATGCCACCCCCACCATAAATCCAAGCACTCTTACGCCTCGTCGACCTACTCTGACAACCCCGAGAACAATAATGATCCGCCCCTCCTAAAATACCACCACCATACTAACCAAACTGATTCCGGCTTCTCCTCGTCCTTTGACTCTGACCCGTTTTACATTAGTACCTTCAACGCAACATCCCCACCAGCATTGACGCCGCAGACTTCGTTCGGTGATGATTTCAATGGCCAAGAAACTGCAACCACCTCTACACCAAATACGTTCACGCCACAAACCTCGTTCGGTACCGACGGGTCGAACGACGCATATCAAGAGTGGGAGTGGGAGGATGAAGAAGTGGAAGACGAAAACGGAGAAAACGACGGCCGGCAGAGTTTGATCAAAGACTATATTCCAATCGATGGGACGGTTTGGAACTGGGATGGCAGCCGCTGGGTTGGACAACGGGAGGACGGTAGCTTTCTTTTTTAGGGTGAAGCATGGAGAGAGTTTGCATTTTGAGTGTAGAAGAAAGTGAAAGTGGAAAGAAGATGTGGAGGTGTGTCTTCTATGGACCTTTGTGTGTAGAAGGAAGCTGGATAGTTGATTTGGGGATGTAACCTTTTATACACGATGAATATTCTGTTCACTAGTCGGAGCGAGAAGATGACGGAAACAGAGGAGAGAGTTGAGTGGATTTGTTCAGTAGAACCGAATGGAACAGTTTTCGTGAAATGCCAGCTCTTTGCAAATGACGGTGCAGCGGTAGCGAGCTTACGTTGAGGAGGTAAGGACTTTTCATTATTCATTATCCGTTGGCTCTGGTGTGTTTCCGCTGCCGTTTCTGGTATTTCAATGCTCCAACTCTGATTTCAACTCTAATTTTCAATGCTCCTCACTTGCACCAACCCTTCGCCAACAATAATGCACAACCCTGAATAGCATAGAAGCGATTAAAACCTCTTCTTTCCAATGCCAGAACAATGCTCATTCAATAGATACCAGGAACAATAACCCACCGAACCCTCTTACAATACTCCTCCCATCCCTTTCCATACTTCTTCGAGCACCTTTCCTCATCCCTCCAGCAGCGATGAATAAGCAGAATGGTCATGAAAATCGCGTAGGTCCAAGGTAGCAAATGCGTGAATCCACAAGTAGCACACATCGAGTATGACAATATGAGATCGCCGAGGTAATTCACATGTCTCGCCAAGCCCCACCAGCCAGAGAACAAGAGCAGGGAGTCGTGCTCCAATCCATCGTTGGTCTGATACTTGACACGGAGGACCTTGGCCGGGGCCCCCCAGAGGTTACAGATCCCTTTCGTTCTGCGAACTAGGTCTTTTTGGTGGTTGACGGAGCGGAAGAGGATATAACCGCCGATTCCTGTGATAAGGATTGCTGCTGCTTGGAAGTTCGACCATAGGATTGGATTTCTGGCGAGGTACTGGGTTTGAAGGGTGTAGACAGCCGGGAGCCAGACAAGGGATCCCCATGCGAGATAGAATCCGAAGTGATCATGGCAAATATCGATGGTCCGAAGATACCAATCTTCGTTGATGAAAAAGTCTACCACATATATGGTATGAAGAATGGTAGAGACCAAGATTGATTTGGTGATGTACCCATGGGTTTGGTATTGATAGGCAATGAATGAGAAGTCGCTGGCGGCGAATTAGTATAATTTTCGGATCATTTCAAATTTTCCACCTGCTCAGGGAGGAATTTGAAAGAGAGTTACACGTGACATCAAATTTGAAATGCTCACATCAGAGTCCACTACAACGAATTAGCAAGATATTTCTTTGGAGGCAGAGAGCCGGGAGTATGGGGATAAAGAAATAGTTGGATACCGCAACAATGCCAGGGCGGCCGTTTGTGAATAATTTGAAATCAAAATATTTCCCAATCCTAGGATTAAGCTCAATTCCCATGTACACGTCGTACATGATAGAACCTGTCACATGTCAGCATTTCATAACTCTCCTCATCTCTGGAACACCCACCACTGAACTTTCGATCCTTCTCGTGAGTTGGACTTAGATGAGCTTTTGCATAAGCCAATCCCGTGAGGAGAAACCCAGCTATGTTTGCCGTGACGAGAAGTGCCTCCCAGTGCCTTGCAAGAATCGCTGGATCAAGAAAACCAAAGATAGACAGTGTGAGGAACAGAACATGAGTGATGATCCAAGCCAGCAAACCATTCGTCCGGTATTTGAGGAGATTCCCGGCCGGAGTCAATTGTCCAGTGCTCAATTTGCTGGGAAGGAATTGATAGAGAGCCACCTGGAGCAATATCCAAACTCCATATCCAAGCGTCACTTTGAAATCCGGCCTTGGAGCGTATAGCAGGAAGAAATTGGCTGGGCCGAAGTCCAATAAGGCGTTGTACGCTGCACTTAACGAGCCATAAAAGGAAGAAAGGGCAACCCGTAAGAAAATGACGAGACAAGGACATAATAGCATGATGGCCGCACAGCCCAATGCATGTAACCAGGAGCCATGATGGTGTCGCCGACCCCAGGAGATACTTGAATCGCGAGTCTGTGAAAAAGATGCAAGCCGTGGTCGTTTTACTGAGCCATTGGGTTTGTCTGCTAATTGGGGTGTGTCGGTTGCGCCGTGACGCGAAGGGAGGATGATCCCCTCCATTCTTGTTGATAAGAATGGGATACCCAAATGTCCTGGGGAAGTGATTGACTTTAAAGAAAACTGAGAAGGCAATTGACAAATGGAAGAAGTCTGTCTCATGCTAGTTCTTGATCGCGCTACTACAACAGGAAGGGACGAGGCGCGAGGGTCGAGTGGTGACGAAGCTGACCATTACTTATCGTGGCTTCCCTCGTAGACGTAGTTATTGTAATTGAGAATGACAAAAAGGTAGGAGGGCGCAGGTCTTACATGGACAGCGTGATCAAGCCCGAATCTGCACAAGGGGTAAGGCAACTTTAGAATGGTTCCAGTCAAGGCCGATATTAGGCAGGATTCCAATCAGAGATCTCGCGTCGATCATCCCTTCCACAGGTGTGTTCCATCAAGCCACACCTTGCCTTTTGGATTCGACTTCTAAAGGGCCAGTATGGCCGCGCCCAGTCCAAGCATTGGCCCCAGTTCGGAGATTCATCCTCCCGGAAGCTCTGCTGGGTCGATGTCGCGTTGCCTTGTAATGTCATGAAATTGTAACGAGAGAGGCGTGTCCCTTTACCGCAGCGTTCCTTTCTGCATACTGTATGCTCACAGCCGGGCTTATCAATCCAGGAGCATTTGGAAATAAGCCACAAATCGAACTGGGCGTCATGGCGCAGCAATACAATACGTGGTCACCATGAGCGATAACTTGCGCGACACACGGATGTCATCGCAGAGTGCTGATGCCTCGAGCCATTAACGGATTCGGTCGAGACAGAAACACGTGGCATACTTCGAAGTACGCGGCACGCCCAGTTTACCGGTACCCGCGCAGCGCAGCACCTTCAAAGACGGCCGACGAAGCAAGCAGCGACCTCGTGATTGGATACGAAAGTGCCCTTCGAGGAACTCGTTGTGGTCTCGCAAAGAAGGTGTTTATCTCGGTCCACCTACATGTTGGGATGCTGGGAAGGAAGAGATGAAATGGTTGAAGTAGTGAAGTTGGAGGCGGAACCTTGAAGTCAGATCAGCCAGGCCTTGGCTGCGCAGAGGGAGCCGGATGTTGGCTTCGGCTCGGACACCCTTGTTCGGCCCGGCACCACCAGTATCAATATCTCGAGTATCGACCTCAAGCTGCGAGAGAGCACGATGTACACGACAAGCAGATGCAGTGCAGCGGCCGAAAAGGCGGAAATTCGAGGTCAAAGTGAACAGCGGCCGTCCTCGAAGCCAAAAACCATGTCAGCCATGTCCAAGTCTGGAGGCCTTCCGTGATTCCCTTCCGGATTTCAAGTCCTCCAAATCTGAGTTTCCCATGTTGCAAAATAAGAACCATCGAGATGGGGTTCTGGTCCTATCAACAAACTCTCGCATCCAATCTGGGCATATCGTGGAGAGATGCATACCTGCATCAGGAGAGCTCTGAAGCGGCTTAATGCGGATGGTAACCCTCGTGCATGGTTTGGAAGATCATCCTCGTGCAGCGGGTGTTTCAATGAGCGTTTCTTAGAATGTCCCGAGTCCGAACCAGTCTATTAATATCTTCTGGTGACTGGCCACTTGGAAGCACGAGTGTCTTGCTAGATGTTCGGGGTACATTCACTGCCGGGGAGCGTCTTCGTCGAGTATGTGCACTTTTGTTTAATTCACAGGTTTAAATGCAATTATTTCTGTTCTCTTCGTTTTTCTGTGTCTCATTATTCTTTCTTACTAGTCAACGGTCCAGTGACCGAAATATCTCCACAAATCGAGAGCCTGCCACTCGAGAAGTCGGGCTATAAATGCTCGGCCGAGGGCCAGTGGTCTCTCTAAAACCTATAATCTACACATACGGAACTCAACTAGACCCAAGGTACAGCACAAATGATGCAAACAGGTAACCACAGGACACCTTACATACCAAAACAGACACCAAGCCTTTCATCCTACCAACAGAAAAGTATACCACGGACGGAAATAAATACGGCTGGTGATGCTGCGCATGTGGCGGATACAACAGATCAGGTACGTCCTGCAGCTGCGGGTACTACAAATGTTCCAGCTGTGACGGTGGTTAGTATCATGCTGGGCTTCGATATGTAAGCTCAGGTCTTAGACCTCAGGCAGGAAGCGCGCATTGAGCTAGGGTGGGAGGGAGGATAGTGGAATCAGTATACCTACAGAGAATGGCCATTCTATTCAATATCATCATTTGTTCAGTCATAAATGTGGAATTTGTTCCAAAATACCTCGGAGCTTGCTGGAAAAGTACATTCACGAGCCCCGTTTCACTACCCCCTTTCCCTTCTTTCTGTGCTCCTCTTAATGCCCATGTTGCCTAATATTCCTTAAATAGGCACCGAGAGCAATTCCCGCTTGTTTCATCATAATCCAATCATTGAATGCCACAAATATTTGTTGAAAACATTGCTGCTGTGTCGAAACCCTGTCATGTCACATGCCTGATTTTTCTCGGCTGCAACCCCTTTGCCCCTCCCTAACACTCTCGCTTCCTCTTCTCAATCACATTCAACCCGGATTAATATCAAGATCTATGGCTTGTGATTCGTTTCACTCATTCAACACATGCTTTCACCTAGAAAAAAATAGAAGATTTCCAGTTTGATAAATGTGTGAGCCGTTTCTCTTTCCACTGAGATTGAATCAATATTCCTCACTTCCCAACATACCTATCTCCACACACAAAACATTCAGACAAAACTTGATTTTCTCAAACAAACAAGTGGCAGCAATCTATCCGCAGAGAAGACAGAATTACGCGAAGCAATCAATCACAACCCCACTCAACTAATTCCCATACCAGCAGAACCTCGCTATAACGATTGCCTCGGGACCGAGAATATTTAACGATATTGCGAGGTTATCGTTAACTTTTGGTGGTGACAGGGGTTTGGGACCGAAAATATCTAACGATACTGCGAGGTTTTTGTATGGGGTGCACGGACCAATCGTTATATCGAGGGATCGTTATAGCGAGGTTCTGCTGTACCAAAAACGAACGATTCTTGGAAAGAGAAAGGCCAAGAAGATGGGCATCGAGCAAGACCCACCTCTCTGTAGCCAACCTGTTCCTTTGTCCTATAACCCGGGCTCGTTACCTCACTGGTCGGGAGGATGTTTCATGCTCCCGGCTCGCTCGCGACTCTCTCCTCGCTAAAGAAATACACTGCTAATTCGTTGGTAGGGGTCTGGATATGCTGCTGTTGCGGTTATCGAAACGCTAGAAATGGAGAAGATGGAGAGTATTGTCGGCGGTGTTGGCATTGGAGGGACAGATGCTGTGGTGGCTAGTATGAGGTGGAATCCGAGAGAGTGTGTGAGAAACTAGGGGTTGGAGTAGTTGGCGGTGGCAGGGGAAGAGGACGGCGCGAGACGTTGCATGAAAGATAAAATGGATTCGAGATCTCGAAAGAATTCCGAAGAAGGATTTGGGCTCGATAGAAGAGAGAAGTGATGAGAAAATAAATAAATGGAAATGAAGTGAATCACCCACCTCTCTCTCTAAATTCCACTATCTCAGTAGTGCGCCTATCACTTTCCCTTCCCCTCCCACTCCCTTCTCCCTCCACCCACACCGGTAATCAAGATGTACCTAATAACTAAAACAACCTATACTGCCTGCAAGCACACAAAAGCCTACACAGACCGCAGCGCATACCATGCGTCCTATTTCCATGGCAAAGAACGTCTGAAGTGCAAGAAAGTAAGGGCGAATGAGGCCAGGATTGAGGGTGTTTGTGGGGACTGCCTTGAGCCCTATTTAGATATGAGCATGGGGGAGGAACTTCAGAAGGACAGCGGGAGTAAGAGCATTGGTTTAGACAAAAAGATAGAGGGTCAGCCCTGAGTCCTTGGGGACGGCCTTTGCAATTCCGAAAGAGACTAGATAGCAGAAGACTCAACAAAGGCTCTGAACTTTTGGCTGCAGAAAGTAGAATGACCCGGGCCCGGGAAGTCTTATCTCATTGCCCAGAAACCGTCTCGTGCATTGGGTGCGATTGCAATAAATTCATATTCACCCAAGATAGTCAAGAATGTCCCAATCAGGCAACGCTCTTTGGTTGCGATGTGCAATAAATCCTTTATTTTCGCATTCACTCAACTGTCTCCACTAAATACAAGGAGTTTTTTTTTTTAACACTGTCATCGATAAATACTTTCCTGGTGGAAGTGGAGACGGTGCTACAAGCAGAGCTTCACGGGCTTCGATCAAGTCAGGAAGTGCGGGCTAATTGCCTCTTCTCCGCTTCGACCTGACTGCAACTCCCCGTATTTCAAATCTTCTTTCATATCCCTGGACAAATACTACATATTGAGAAATAGCAATTATGCGAGTTAGGGATAGGTAAGCCGTCAGATTGCTCACACTCTAACAGCAACAACGCTCTTGGCAACAAAAGCTCTTGGTTCGACCGTGTATCTGGATGATTTGGGGTTGGCTTTCAGCCTATGCATTTCAAGTCAATGAGTTCGTGACAACGAAAAGAAGAGATTTGCAAACTTAGAATCTCTCAGGCATATAGAATCATGCAAAAGCAAACGAAGAGCTTAGTCTCTTGGTTGAGTGGCAACCACGTTTAATATTCTTTTGAGGCGCTTGCCAATTTGTGACTCTGTTCTAATCTCACCCACAATCAATCATCAATAAACAGTTCTCGCAAAAAGTCTTTTTGAACTTTCAATTCTCATCTTCAATTCTTTTTCGCCTATTTTGAAGCGAATCCATATCTATCTGCTGGCCGTCACCTCTCCAACCGATCGCCGAACCCGAAGCCTTCAATGCATCCAATGCTTCCTTACTTCCCCGCCCAACCCACCAAGAGACCATCGTTAAAGTATATGAATCTTATACTTCACCCCGCTAATATTGAAAACGAGAGTCCTATCCTTCAACGCCATCCTTCATGCCCATCCCAAAAACCCCATACCCATCTCAGGCCTCTTCTTCCTCTCCAATTATTGTAAAGTAGTCGTTTTTTGTGTGTCCTCATCAAATCATCACTTGACTTCAATTTGCTGCTCGTTCGGAGTCGGCGGCATGCTATGAAAGTCGTCTTTCTCATCCAATTCCTCGCTATGTCTCGCAGCCTTCGCTTCCTGCACCTCGATACTGGAAAGCGGTTCCTCGACCATAGGCGAAATACCATCGAGATTCGATTCCTTCAACTCCAACTCTACCATCTCCTCCAGCGACTTTCTCTTTGACTCCTCTTCCTCTTCCGCTTCCGGTTCCGGTGTGATGACGGCTTTTTGGGATTCAATGCTCTTCCGCTGACTATCTACACCATGCAAATCCACATCCTCGAACCCATCTTTCGTCGGGCTGCGGATGGGAGATTGGCCACTGGCTTGGTCAACCATGAGCACCTTACTCGCTCTCGCCATATTCCGCGGCGGCAAAGGCGGGGGAGGCGGTCGTTTCGGGATGTCGACGAGTCCACCTCTCGCCTTCACGGCTTGGGGCATAAAGACAGTGGCTTGTGCACTCGCGGCCTCGAAAATGACGGGCTCTTCCTCGTCATCTTCGTCTTCGCTGACGTAGCTGTTATCGGCTCCGTTGTCATGGTGTTCATCGTGCTCACGGGGGCTATCATGCACGGTCGTGCCATCGAAATCCCGGTTGTGGTTTAGATGCGAGAACTCTCCAAGGTCGATTTTGGTGTAGTCGATTTCCTCGGGCTCCCTGGTTTGGTGTTCATCTTCTTCTACTATCCGCTTATGTTCGTTGCTTCTTGATGGTGAGGTGCTGGGTGTGAAGTCGTCGGTTTGCGTGCCCATTTCCGTGGTTTGGGTAGCCCGGTCGATGCTAGTTCTGGTGCGAGAACTCCGGTTAGACATGTAGCTCTCCCTGTTACTTCGGGTTCCTAGCGTGTCCATGCTTCGCCGGTGGAATTTGCTGTATATGGGACTTGTAGGGCTGGGGTTGTATTCGAATTGCGTGCTTGCTGGTCTGCTTTTTGATCCTGCTTCTCTAATCTCCAGCCCTGCTTGCTCTAAAGCGAGAACACCGAAGGGATCTGGATCATCTGGCTCTGGAATCCCGAATATGGGGCCATCATTTGTCGTAGGTGATTCTACGTCGACGTCTCCTGGCGCTGGTTGGTCTGCGAGCTCGGCCATCATAGCTCTGTCCACGTCTCCCCGTCCTTCCGCTGCCTTCACTGTCTCCATGAGCATTTTAATTTCGTATGGTGGATGTCTAGCTTTTCCAGCTAATATGTCTGCAACGCCAATTCTCTGTCCATAGAAGCGTTCGTTTTCGTCGCTCCGTTCGATAATCACTGTGCCGTCGACCTGGACTCCAGCATAAAATCCTCGAGATTTGAGGTAGGTGAAAACAGGACGACTGCGAAAATGTCAGCTCATCGTCGACTAATTAAGATTGTGGTTGTGTACTTTGCCTGCTTCCATTTTCCATCATTCTCCAAGACCCCTCCAACACCAACCGGCCCAGCCACCGCAGAAATCTCCCCACCCAATGTGGCTCGAATCTTGGTGAAAGCGTCGAGAGCCTTGCGATTGTTGATTACAACGACGCAATCGTAGATATCGACACCAACTAGAAATCCCAGACCTGCAGTATGAAGCAATATGCCAGAAGGAGGACTCCATTCCCCATCTTCTTTCCTCGCAATCAAAACACCTGAACCGCCAGCGCCCGAGATCCACAGACCCGTCCGCATTGTGGTGAAAATGGCCAAACCGACCGCATTCTGTATGACCTTCTCGGGGATCTTCTTAAGCACTCGTTGTTTGCCCTTCGGTACGCCCTCGGTCGTAGGTCTATCTTCTTCGGCGTAGAATCCATCTTCTGCAAACCGAGTCAGTATTTGTTTTCACCAAGTAGCCAGAACTGGAAAGGGAGGACTTACTGCAAAATGACTTGAGAATCCTAGCAGCCTTGTCGCATTCCTTATCTAGAGTCGTAGGCCAGAATGCTTCTGAGCCGATCTTGTTCGAAAGTCTGTTGACAGGGGCGCCGACTGTGGATGTCAGTTTTCATCCGAGGCCAACGGACCATTCCTCACTTACGTTTGTCCGCCCAGCCCCAGGCTTTATCGAAGCCCTTCTTGCTTCCAGTCTTCGTCTTGTCCCACGAAGGGAGGATGGCAGTCACCTTCTGCATCGCGGCTGGATCATATAGAGGCAGTGGGTGGTGCAGCGAGGCACGGATTCAGCCTGTACGAGGGTTCGTCGGGGGGCGGGGAAGGGAGCTGGCGATGACGCCGATTATGCGAGGATGCGACGGCGTTTAGCGGTTCCTCTTGGCTCGAATATCAGACGAGTGCGTCGCTTCACCTTCTCAACACTTCAATTAAGAGGTCTGATGGGTGAACCGGAGCTCATGGTCGCAAGGAGAGACAAGGAGAGCAGAGGGTTATCAGCAAGAGAAAGCGTCCTGATTAGTGAGACTGATCAATTGAGTCAGGCACCTGCCAAATAATTGGGGTGTTGCCACGCCACCATGTGCGGGCGGGATTCTACAGCAACTTTGACCTTTCTGACTCGGAAGGCCGGCGTGGTGACGAGGCTGCGAGCTGAGGATTTCCGCATGCGGTGAGCTGATGTCACCTTTTTCTATGCCATGAGAACCTGAGCTGGAAGCAGTCGGCGAAGATAAAAAAATCAGGAAATGAGTGCTGCGCCGGAGATTGAGCTTCTATATTTATTCTGCCTTTGGAAATCGAGAAAGTGATCTCCCTAGGGGCCATGGATTGATTAAAAGCCTGTTCCTGGCAGAGCGAAGGGTCCAGCACGTGCAGCCGCCCCCTTTTGGGCTCCGGATTTGGGTGCAGTGTCTCGTTATTTAAATTAATGCTATCCTTTTCGATTCAAGATGAGAAGAGGTGGTATAATTTCGCGACAAAATCCGTATTCAGGTTAAGTGACATCGTTCAGAACTCCTTTTTGTTTCCCTTGCGTTCCCAGTTCGTTTTCTGCAGCCCTTGAATCCCATAGTTTCTATGTACTCGTACAAACATAAGAAGTCCAATAATACACGAAACTGTTTCCTGGTCTCATCATTGCAGCTTTCCGTGTCGCTCGGCTGAGTTTGAACTGCCGATATGTCGTTCGTCCCCCCTAAACTCGGAGTTTCATCTGATACAAATTCCCATCTCCTGGCCCCATCATACTTGTCCCTGTAACACGTTTATAGCAACCCTTTCCTGATGTTCCCCATATCCCCCAGATTCTCATTGAGCATGTTGGCCTTTTGGTTGCCACTGATCTCCCCTACAAGAGACACAAGTCAGCACATATCTCAAGGCAATGAACCCTGCACGTCGCCTCTTCATCTTCACCACATTTCAACCGAAGTCGAACACTTTTACCAAATTCATCCAAGAATAATCAGTGCAACAGAAGAAACTTACCCTTTAAGAAATCCTCACCCTCCTTCAAACCCTGAGCCTCCATCTTCTTCTCCTCAGCCTTTGCTTCAGCCTTGAAATAATACACTCCAATCTTCTCAAAGATCGGATTGAGAGCTCCAGTTTGATATGCAATGCCAAAAGCGACAGCAATAATTGCAACGACGATAGGAATGATGAAGAGGTAGTTGTTGACCATGATTGCGGTTGCTGACTTCGCTACTTGACTTGACTACAAATCTACCAGAAATTATGAACTTGGTAAAAATATCAACTGGGAAATTCGAATCGACAGATAGGAAGAACAAAGTATGAATTTCTGAAGAAATGTTTGGTTTATATATCTCTAACCTGGTCATGACGTTCGCGGGGTAAGGCTCGTCAATCTTGCTTTTGAGATCCGGACAGGATCCAGCAATTTTCCTGGCAACTCTAGCCGGGATTCTTACTGGCTGAGAGTACATTAGTGAGTGATGGTTGTATCTGGCATATGCATATGTTAATTGAGACTGGACGATACGAAGAAGGAGCGTGTTTGCAAGATCAATGTAAAACACGAGAGCGTGGGAAGAAAATTACAACAGGACAATCCAAAAGTGAGCAGACTCACGTGATTCGCGAGGAAGTGGCGATCCCTTCCCGCTCGGAACGGAACGGACTTCGGAGAACAGGGAGGATGAATTGTGCCGCAACTCTGCCTCAACCTGCCCACATCCGTTAAGGTGACTGATGGACTTGATCTCTCCAGAATGCAAAGTCTCGAAAAAAGCTGATCTGCTTTCATCTTGTGCATCAACTCTGTTCAATCCCCATTTGTCCTTCACGATGGGAAGAAAACCTTAGTGTTTTTGTCAAGTGCCATACTCTGGGGAGCCCTCCTCTGGCAGGGTTTCCTGAGCGATTTCGGCGTTGGAAGGCAGGTCCAAAGGATTGAAGACATTCCTTACACTTGTAAACGGATTCGTTCTCTGCTTCTGGAATCACGCGAAGGTATGTGGCTTGACGAGGAAGGACGAAGGCTCTATGCTGCATGCTCGACCATGACTAATCGCGAGGGATGGGGCCCTAGGCCAGCCACCCCTTCTATTGACGTAAAAAGGTGTTCGTCCTTGTTTATACCTTCTGACGTGATAGCAGGGCGAACTCGTTCAATATACCTGCTCGAGATCCCAAGGAATCACATGTCGGTCCTGAACATTAACCATCCTAATTCAGATGGATATACGGTCTCTACAAGCTCGAAATCACAGAGAACTACCGTTCTGCTACAGGAGACAAAGACATTGATCTCAATGGGTTCGAATGGCGACGTGCTCCCAAAGTCACGTCTACGTTTCTGGATGGTCAACAACCGTCCAGCCGTTGACGAAGCAGGAAACTTCTTGCATACCTCGAAAGTAGGAGCAAACGCAACCATCGAAGTGTCCGAACATAAGCTAAGCTCCGGGAAATTGGAATTCATCAAGACGATATGGAGTGAGGCAGTGCAACTGTTTGTGAACCGAAGCCGGAGTGAGAGATAGATGCTTCAGGTTCGTATGGGTTTTGACCCTGGTTGAGCTTGCTTGGGTAAAGTCTATCATCCTGGAGGTTCTGATTTTTTTTACACCTTTCCGCTTTAAATAATGGGAACCTTCGAACTAGCTGGGGGACGTCATGGACATTCAAAGGGTGATTGCTCCCTTTATGGAGGATGCGAATATTATCCATGAGCGGGAAGTGTTGTGGTCTCTCCTCCAGTGAGAGAAGAGGTATCTCCGCCTCTCTCCGGACCTTCCCCCACGTTTTTTTGTTCGCTGCTCTGTGTTGTTATCATGCATCTCTTCGTTATCATTTCAGCAAGTGCTGTTATTCTCCCACCAGCTCCTGGTGCATTTCGGCGACTACAATCCGGGGACATCTTGTCCTTGGTCGCAAGCATAATCCAGATTTGCAGCCTCATGCTTTCTCCAGCGGCAAGCTGGGCTTGAACAGGGCAGGGTGTCCTGGGTCGCGTTCTGCACACTAGTCGTTGCAAAAGATGCTGGGAAGAGGCATATGTCCTACTCTCCAAGGCCAGTGTTTTCCTGGTCAGATTTCTAGCAATTTCGAGGAGGGTATGCATGAATGATGTTTGAGATACAAAAGCCTGCTGCTCAAATGACTATTTCCGCTCTAGCTTTCGCTTCAGTACCGAGAAAGCTTGAAACAGCAACTATGATAAAGACTCTAAATCATCGTCTCTGCATCGGTGACCGGCTTCGTCAAACATGGTGGATGGAACATCCACCAGCCAACTATGAGTCCAAAGAAATAGTTCTTAAGGGGGCTTTCAAAACCTGGAGTTCAAGAATGACAATCGTCCATCTCGAATATTTCTATACTTCCACTACTTGATGTGCATCTATCTAGCTAGCTTTGCAACTAAATCGTTCAAACCAAGTGAGGTAGAATGTTGTTTCTGCTTGAATTCTAAACTTCGTAACTTCCAGTCCTTTCTCGGAATCAGTTTGAGATTTCATTTGCAGTTATTGGCTGCTGTCAAGGTTGGGCAAGTGCTCTCAATTTTGTTACATATCTCTTATTACACAATTGGGGTTTACTTCCAAGTGTTGCCGGTGCGAGGGGAGTGAGGGTTTTCTTTCTGTGCTGCGCATCTACTTGATAATGTTTGTTTGTAATCATGCTTTCCCTGTCTAACGTGCCGGAATTAGATTAACTTCGCGTTGTGTGCAAAGCATCCCGTGCTGTGGTCTTTTTATACCTTTGCCACCTTGTATTTGCGAGTAAATGAGTGAAATAATTGCCATTTTGGAACGGAACCCGAAAACAGAAATGTCCATTCCCCGTGTAGATAGGACGGAGCATGGGGCAGCTGATGCCAAAGGCAGATTGAGCTCGACATTTTAGACTTCAATCTCAGGGAAACCCCCTTCAACGTGTTGTATGCTGGGAGGCTGTTGGTCTTCCGATGGCCCTGGGGGATATTTCCTTCGAGAGCCACCTGTGCTTGCTGCCTCGGCAAGGGTATCCAATGAGGGTACTCGACATTGGCCAGCTCTCAGTCCCTCTCTGACAATGTTTTGCTGTCAATTCCTGCTTCGCTGTCAATCTGGCGGGTGCTGTACATTGACACACCAAAGTCAGGTTGACGACTCCGCCTCTCACTCTTGCTCAATGACTCTCCTATCGAAGTTTTTGATCTGCCAATTGGCGCTTTAGAAGAGACGTGGCGAGTATCGAGATTATGGTTTGAAGTTGAATGGATTCTTTGAGTACTGCGGCAATTTCAATTCCGTGATGGGATCGGCAAGTAGCCGTCGTCCCCTTCCACTGCATGAAACGTTCTGATTCCAGAAGAGTTCATCGTCAAACTCTTTTACGACATCGATACGTACTTCTTATTCTGACAATCTCTTTGCTCCAATGCTCAACGTGTACTGCTGGGCCTCCAGAAGAGCGCGGGGTCCGTTGATTACTTTGAGCTTGCCAAAAGACCTTCAAGCCCAAACTCGGATGAAGCTCCGTATTTATCTACAGTCTGCAAATATGATGCCAGGTACGAGACGGTTTGAGTTAAGCGCTTGTATACCACTGTACCAAGCCAATGGTGGCACCGACGCAGTATCGCATGAACATTTTGCACTTCCCAACGTCTGCGCTTCGGACCGTTTATTAAACCATGGTGATCAACATGTGCCTGGCTTGGAGAAATCTAACCCGTGTAACCTACCTTTCGCTCGTTGGTCGAACAATTCAGGGCGGAGGCGGAGGGGAAGGTAACCTTAGCCACTCAAAATGGAAGGTGGGGTGCTCGGTTAAAGCCTACCCCTCGCTGGAGCTCAGCTTCAGGTTGCTAAGAAATCTTGGCTTCCTTGCACACTAGGCATCTATTGGTCTTCATTTCTTTAAGCGCCGGACCTTGATCAGCATGCTTGTATCCTACTTGACATGCATCACGAGATAAACTCTTGGAATGTGGTGCCGACATACCGCTCCATTGGCATCACGAATCCAGGAACACGATGCACAGTTCAACCTATTTAAGGATTCGTCCGAGACGCATCAAGTGCGCAAGCACCGCGATGATAGGAAAATTCTATAAAGAGGACTGTCTTATTCCATTCAAGTTAATGATCTGATCCGTTCATTAACCCGCATTCCAAAACGTATTCACAATGGCGATCCTTGCAAGATTCCTTCAACTCTTGGCTCTTACTGCCACAGTCAATGGCACGCCTCTCCGACGTCGCGGGACACTTCCCCCAGATCAAGTCGTAGGACTCGCCGAAGCAGTTCCAAATGACAATACTGGGACGCTTTATGAAGCCTACCAGCCATACCTCGACGTGCTCAATGGCTGCGTGCCCTTCCCGGCCGTAGATGCCAACGGTAACACCAAGTACCACTCCCCCTTCCTCTCTCCCAAACGAAATCTCATTAACACCTTCCAGCGCCGGTCTCCCCACTACTGGTTCCCAAAACAGCGGCTGCAGCAGCAACCTAGGCCAAATCTACGCCCGTGGGGTAGCTTCCAACGGCCGCTACGCAATCATGTACTCCTGGTATATGCCCAAAGACTCGCCATCGTCCGGACTCGGCCACCGCCACGAATGGGAAGGCGTGATCATCTGGCTGGCCTCAGCGACCTCCACAGCATCCTCCAACATCCTCGCCGTGTGCCCGTCAGCCCACGGAAGCTGGGATTGCAGTACCACCTTCCTGACCTCTGGATCTGGAGCTTTTATTGCGTATTTTAGCATCTGGCCGGTGAATCACCAGATGTGGTTGGGTGCTGAGCAAGGTGGACAACAGCCATTGATTGCGTGGGAGAGTCTGCCGACTGCTGCGAGGGATGCACTGCAGAATACGGATTTTGGGAGCGCGACGGTGCCGTTGAAGGATAGCACTTTTGCGGGAAATATTGCTGCTGCTACGTTTTAGATTAGTTTGCTTGTGAAGAGTTGTTAGTATGAATAGTGAGTGCTTGATTACCAAGCAGACCTTTTGAAGCGAGAAATTTGAGAGGCTCGCTTCGAGCAGACTCGCCTCCTGAATCATGACCCCCTCGCTATGCAGCACCTTTTGTTGTCATTTCAAATCTGCTGTCAACTATTCTTGATTTTGCCTCTTTTTGGTTTTCAAAGCCTCACATTAAGTGTTCAAAGCAAGGGGGCCTTTGTGTAGTGACACATGTCTGGTCTGTGCTGTCAAATGCTGAAAAGTGTCTTGGTCAACCAAGCCTGCAACTGTTGGATCTGGTCGCCGGTCATAGTTGATGGTTGTTTGCTTAGCAGGTCACAGAAGGAATAAGAGAGTTTATACATATGGGCGAAAAGTAAACGGATCGAGTGCTATCGTCGCGAGTTCCAACTTCTCCTGATTCTAGCACTGGTGAGTGTTCGTCCCGACTCGCTCTGGACAGAAAAAGCTTTCAACATTCGAGACCCAGTTGAACATTGCAAATGCTCCCTCTATGAATGTACACTTGAGGTATAGTACGCTCGACAATTGTTTACTTTTTTGGAGTCTCAAGATTAAGCGAGAAAAGGAGGATTTTCAGGGGCTCAATTGGCTCACAGTGAAGCGACCGGCGCGAACAAATAACCCAGAATAAACTGCATTATCGTTGATTTTTGGTTCCTAGTGCTTAAATAAGCACTAGCCGAAGGGGTGCACGCCACCGGGAGCAGTATATCGGGAGTTGAACCCAACCTACAAGCCACCCTACGGAATAACCCAGAATAAATAGCCTCACCGCGTCTCAGCCCCCAAATCCTAAATACAACCCTGGGTCCTTGGCGTCATGCGCAATGAAAGACATGACATCCTCCAAAATCCTTCCAGCCTTTCTTCCTTCCTTTTCCTTCCTTCTCACCTCCTTTCCCATCTCCCCTCGCCCAAACAATGGCGACAACTCGTTCTCCAGAAACCAACTTTAATACAGTTACCTCCTGGCTCCCACTCACCACTACCTTCCCCTATCAATCAGGCTGTTCCTCTGCAATCTGGGCACGTTTGGGCTTCATCCAGTCGGCCACGTCCGATGCTGTAGCCTTCGATCCTGGCTATGGAATTACCGTCGATCCAGCACTGATGTGCATGCCGTCGCAAGTCACTCTGTGGTGGGAAACGGAGACTGCGCCTGTACTCAATGGACTTACGACGCGGTACAGTGTTGGGCCGATTGTGTGTCCGGGGGCCTTTACCACCGCGGGCACGAGTATAGTGAATGAGCAGAGCACGCAGGTCGCGTGTTGTCCGTCGTAGGTTGCCCTTCCTCTTATTTTACCTACTCTCCCAATTACACAGAAAAATTTAAAAATTAGTTGATGAAGACTAATGCGAAATTAATAGTGGATATAAATTCCGACAAATGCAGGAAGCTGGCATTGTTGGCGAATGCGCGTCTTCTGTTTCCAAGGGCTTTGTCGTCACATATGTAATGGAGAAGGTGCCGGGCAGTATCAATGAAGGGTTAACAACAACATCTACAACTATGGGAAATGACTATTATGTTTTGGGAGTTCCTGTTAATGGATTTAATTTCGCTGGACCAACATCTGTCTCCTCATCCGCGTCTTCGATTTCAGGTCCTTCAGTTACAGCGACTTCAACCGGTATATCCTCACCTTCGCCAACGAGAAGCTCAGCAGCGGGTAATGGCGGTCTATCGACGGGTGCAAAAGCTGGGATTGGAGCCGGCGCTGCTGTTGCAGGTATCGCCTTTATCATGTTCGCATTTCTATTATTCAAGTATCTAAGAAAACGACAACGAGCAGAAGGGAATAACAACGGGGGTGAGAAGGGGCCAGGAGATCTAATGCATGAGTTGCATGATATAAATCGACCACACGAGATGGGGAGCTCTGGTGCTAGACCGCCTGAACTTGCTGGATAGCTTGGACTTGGATGCTTTCAGGCCGTTCTTTTGCATGGTGCCCTTTTGCCCAGCCTCTTTCCCATATCAGAATAATATTTGTGTAATACCCAGACCGTCTTCCTCCCTGGAATAATGTTCAGGCATGGATGGCTCGGCAGGATACGCAGGCCTGGGATGAAGTACGTGGCATGATAGACAATGAGTATGCGACTCGTGTTCATTTCTCATGCTTCACTGTGAGGAGGAAGGCACTTTTGCCCCACCAGGAACGAACTCACCAGGCAATCTCTTAAAGCGGGTAGGTAAATTGAAAGAAAGTCGTTGGATTCTGACGAGCCTTGATTGAGTCATGAATTATTATGCTTTATTTTAGATCTTGATAGGGCTGGATGGCGTAGTTACCAAGCCATGTTCAAAGGCAATTTACGTTTGCTGTCGACAGCCACCTTTTGGGATCTTCGGGTTTGATCCACTAACAAGTAAATGAGAAAAGCAAAAGTCGTATAATGACACACCATAATAGTGCTCAACCATATGACATGAATGATAATCAATGACCCAAACTAGAAAGTCAGGACACTTTGAGACATTCAGAAAAATAATAGAGGGCAATGAACCTAGGATCAATGATTCAGTACTTTGGAAGATGCTTGTAAGTGGAGTGGCTCACATGGATGGTTCATATCTGACTGACGATGACACAGAAAGCTCAGAAGTATGTAATACCTTCAGATGAGAGTCGGATTGGAAGAAGCAACCAATTTGCGGCTTTCGGAATGTTGCCCCTGGAAGTACTAGGTAATCTTACCAACGTGGTACAAGGCCGAATGAAGTCTGGGAGACGCTGGTTGGCTTAATAGCTGCCGAACATTCTGCATATTGGGTAGTATTTGGAATAAGCAAGTTAAGGAAGGCAAAGTTACAGCAACAGTACCTCGTGCTCGTTGGGGCAACGTGACAGCAAACGAGAGAAGGAAAAAAGCACTTTATTTTCCCATGCTAGTGGCTAAAGAAGGAAAGAAGGGAAGATGTAAGATTACATGAGAGGAAGAATTTCGCACTTTCAACACAGTCATTTCTCGTACGGCCACTGGACGGTTCACTTCAACTCGTGCTCTGAAGCTCTGCTTCCTGTGATTTTTGTTAAGATTGCTTAAACTCTCCAATAATTTCTATCTCTGTAGAGCGGATAGAAACCGGCTTTGGCAGCTAATGCAATCCAAGTAAGAAGGGAAGAACTTGGTGGACATATTTTCCTTTGGCGGCTATTACCCTACCACAATCCCTCCAGCGGGTTATCTACCGCCCCATCACAACAATTGGAATACCTGGCTACTTCGCCCCATTGACTCCAATATAATCGACTTTTAACATTGGTCAATCGTACTGTACATACCATATATAACCTACTCAGACACTTTTCAATGCTCCTCTCACAACGCCTTCTCTCTCGGACCTGAAAGCCGTTCAAATCGATCAACACTCATGATAAACGTTCCTCTCCCTCCCGTCAAACTCCTCAAATGCTTCAAATACCCCACCATCTCCTTCAACGGCACCCTCGCCGTAACTTGTCTCTGCTGACCCGGTCCAGCTCTATCCGCACCACTGCTAGAAGCAAACGGATCTGGAGGAGCATATATCCTGCTCGTATCTATTTGCGGAACATCGGAAGGAGATTCTTCGCTGCTATCGTTGTCGAGAGATAGGACGTGACCACCACGCGCAGATGAGAGATCGTGGACAATGGCGCCGAGAGAGGCTTCATCGCAGCTTATGACAACGTTCATGACTGGCTCCATGAGCCCAATGTTGTTGTTATCGAAGGCTTCTTTGAGCGCCGCTTGGACAGCAAGTCTGGCTGCTGAGGAGAGTGCGGCGGCAGAGGTATCGTTGCCAAAATAGTCGGTTACTGGGTCGAATGTTATCGCTACATGGCTGGCATGGAGGGGGAATGCTTGGCGAGGCCCTCGAGCTAGAGCAGCTTTTGCACCATTAATCAGTGCGGTTCGAAGCGTAATGAACGACAGATTTGGAGGCAGTAATTCGATTCCATCCTCGTCGTATGAGGATTCAGGTAGTTGTATTTTGATGACATTCCCGTCGAGATGGATTGTGTGTTCTGTCTCTAAACTGACATCATTTCTTGGCTCAATGCTTGCTCGACAGCCAGCTTTGCCTTTCTTTCCTGCAACCTCACGGTCGAATACAACTCGATGTGGCATAGTTCCTGGCCCTAAAACGCATTCGCGATAGCTGATCTCGATATTTCCCATGGTGGCCTTGGCTTTGAAGTCGTTCACAAGCCTATCTCGAGCGATTTCAAGGTGAAGCTCTCCCATTCCGCTGAGCAACATCTGCCCAGACTCCTCGTCGACATTTACGTGCAGACTCGGATCTTCTCTCAGTAACAAGCCAAGAATGTCCGCGACAGTCTTTTCTTCACTAAGACTGTGGGGTTCAATAGCTGCGAAGAATACTGGCGGAGGAACATCAATCGGCCGTAATTGAAGTGTATTCAATGGTGCTGGAGGACCAAGTTTGGGGTTGACTCCAGGGTAAGAGATAAGTGTGTCTCCGGTTCGGGCATGCTTTAGGCCTGCGATAACGCCAATCTGTCCAGTAGCAATATGTGATATTTCAATCGCATCAGATGCTTGCATCTGTAATAGCCGCTGAGCCCTCTCAGTGACATGCAGATTTGTGTTCCACAGAGCCGAGTTCCTCTTGATTGATCCCGAATACACTCGTATGTAGACAAGCACACCGCGTCGAGGATCATTGACCACCTTGAAGGCAAGAGCACAGCCTTCTATTTGAGCGACCAGAGATAAAGGGGACGCCAATTTTTTCGACAGCGATTTGTTTGGTGTGATCGATAGTCTTCCTTGTAGAAGGTCAGATAAGCTACCCTTCTGGTTGCCAATGCTGATTTCAGGATCCGGCCTTTCGGTTGGATTTGGGAGGAGGTCATCGACAGCATCCATGAGAGGCTGAACTCCAATATTACGGAAACTTGCCCCAGCAAATACAGGGATCAGTCGCCCAGAGCCGTCCAGGACGCAACGTCTCAGACTATCACGAATTGCTTGGGCTGGAACAGCCAGACTATCATCGTTGCATGCCAACCAAATCTCAAGAAGTTCCTCATCAAACTCACAGAGAGCCTCCACAAGCGCTCCTCGTGCCTTAATAAGCTCTGAGTGAAGGCTAGCATCTTCGTGAGCAAGCTGGTCAAGAATAAAGGTCTGGATACTTTTCCCATCACCTCCCTCTGTCCACTTTAGGGCAGAGAGATTGATAGCGTCTCCAACCCCAGTGAACCTCCCTTTGCCGCCTTCCCACCAAGGGATCTGACATACGGCTGGCCAGCCGCGAAGCCTTGATCCAATTTCCTTGACGGTTCGTTCGAATGCAGCGCCGTCCCGGTCCAGCTTGTTGACAAACACAATTCTCGGGATACTGTAACTGTTTGCCTGCGTCCAGACTTTTTCGGTTTGTGCTTCAACGCCGGCAACACCATCGAGAATGCACACGGCTCCATCGAGAATTCTCAAAGACCGGAGAACTTCAAACGTGAAGTCTGCGTGTCCAGGGGTGTCAATGAGATTGATAGTATGGGGGGTGTGCGATTTGGGAACGCCATCCTTGGCTGTATGGCCTTCATGCAGGGGCGGCCAGTGGAAAGTGACTGCTGCAGACTGAATTGTGATGCCTCTAGCTCGTTCAGCGGGCAGAAAGTCTGTTACAGTGGATCCATCGTCGACATCTAAAGAAACAAAATTATTAGAAGCTGAAGAAACAGAGGCACAATAACCATCACTTGATGTGCTGTAAGTTGATTTTCATGTGTTTGTAAGAAAATGCTGTTCCGTGCAGGGCGGCGACTTGTGTTTTTGAATGAAGACATGCTGAAATATCAGGCCATACCTCCTATTCGACGAGTAAAACCACTATAATAAAGCATTCGCTCTGTGGTTGTCGTCTTCCCCTGCCAAAAAATTAGCAATTGAACTCTATGTAGTTAGAATAAGGTATCTAACGGCATCGATATGGGCAATGATGCCAATATTCCTGGTCTTTTTGATACTCGGATCATAGTGATGGTGATGTGAAGTTGAGTATGAGGGCCAATGTCGTGAGACCTTTAATTTATTGCAAAGTGCGACGCACCCGAGGCGTCGATGCCATGCTTGACGCCGTCCCCTTGATACAAGTAGACTCATCACCCAAATTCGAATTTCGATAGCTTTTGAAGCAAGTCTTGAGAGAAAAGGTTGAAGAAGTCAGGCGCTCGCTTAGCGCCTATGTGGCGCTTATGGTTGCCGGATGCCTGCGCTTAGGAGAGCTGGGGGCTTGTTGATTCTCATCTTCTCCCTAATTGATTGCTCACCTCGTAGGAGCCAGTTCTTCTCCAACTATCTGGGCGATGCGTTGTGTATGCCATATCTCATGTCAATAGCACTTGTCGACTTGATCTTCTGGCCCCAGACGTCATCGAAATAGAACACGCGCACCTCTTATCACAAGCATTGGTTCCCGACTGCGATCAGGCAAAAACCCAATCTCATCATGGATTATTCTGCATCGATACAAGAAGATCATCCTGCGGGCACTTCACCGTGGGGTTCATCCCCAGTCGCTTCTCCACAGCATCCAAGGACAAGCTCATTTGGCGCACCTGGCGATGTTCCTCCGTCCCCAACGCCGTACCTTTCGAATCAATCAAGCACAGGGTTTTCACAAGACGATACACTTGGCGGGGGAAGCTATCAAGGAGCAGAGAGCAGCGTTGGGGAAGGATCTGTGACTGAGAGCGATGGACACCGGCCGAATACCGCAGACTCGATTCGCAGCCAGCCTGAGCAACAGCAGACCTACCCAGGTCAACAGCAGCAAGCTCCACCGCAACCGCAATACCAGGCGCAACCTCATAGATCAGAGCCCCAGCGATACCACCAAACCAATCGTCAAGGGCAGCAACCTCAAGCTCCTCAGTACAAACTACAAGCTAAAATAACGGGCCTTGAGAGAACTGGGAGAAAAGACCCCATTTTGAGATTCGATGTCCATGTATGTTTCAGTGGATCAATTGGAATCTCAAAGCAGCATACTAACACCTCAGACCAACCTTCCAAAGTTTCGAACTACCCAATTCCGCGATGTCCGAAGAACCCACTCCGAATTCATGAAGTTGGCTGATCACTTGATATCCTCGAATCCCGAAGCCCTTGTACCTGCAGTACCACCTGCGTTGACATCTGCCGGTGCTGGTACAGATGAGGATGAAGCCCGCGTCAAGGCATCGCTCCAAAGGTGGCTTAATTACGTTTGCGCAAACGACGTTTTGATGAGGGATGACGAGATGGTCCTTTTTGTTGAGAGTGATTTTGGGTACAGCCCGATGTTGAAGAGAAAACAGCCGGCAACCGGAGTACGCAGAAAGGTCATCAAGCAATTCGCACCTCCACCCGATGACACGCCGGAGCTTCAAGAGGCTCGACCTGTTGTAAAACTGTTTTATCTTGGTACAATGGATGCAGGACATAAGGTAGACAAGTTAGTTAAGGCTCGGAGAGGTAAGCCCCCACTATCCACATGACTAGTTTTCAATATGTCCATATGCTAAGTGATAACAGGCCTGGGACTTGCAGAGTCCGATTTTGGCGTCAAGCTTGGCTCAATGAGTGTGCAAGAGCCGCATCAAGGACTAGCAACTGCCTATCGGAAATTGGGCAAGACCATCCAGACCACTGGCGATTACCACGCCGCTCAAGGCACTGCTGAGGCCACAACGATCGGCGATCCCTTGCAATATCATTCGCAAGATTCGTTCATCGTGAAGGAGACGCTCACGAATCGCCACATTCTCCTGCGCGAGCTGTTGCAAGCGCAGCAATTAACACGAAGCAAGCTGAACGCAGCAGATAGGCTGAAGGCAAGCTCATCTGTGCGACGGGAGAAAGTCGACGAGGCTATCTCAGCATTGGACGAGGCACGAAGTAACGAGCTGTACTTGCTAGGTAAAACCCAGCGGGTAACGGCAAACCTTATGCAGGAGCAACGCCGCTGGTTCGCTCGAACCTCAGCGGATCTTCGACTCAGCATCCGCGAATATGTGATTCGAGAAATCGAAGCAGAGCGTCGAACTCTGGCCACGCTTGAAAGTGTCAGGCCCGATATTCGGGCAATCGATTCTTCCGGTGGTCTCAGTAGGCTAGGCCGTGAGGCGCACCCCGCAACTCGCAGAGCAAGTTTAGCGGCCAGCCAGGGGCCAAAGGGGGATGCGTGGAGCGGTGTACCTCGACGCCCCGATGGGTTGAACAGGAGCATTTCAGGCAGTTTCATGTCTAATGTTCCAGAAGAGAATGGCGAAGAGCAGACAGGGTCGGGCCGAGAGAGAGCGCTCAGTGGTGCGAGTGCTGGTGGTCTTCGCGGTGTTAAGGAAGAAGACGACGAGGATAGGGTCGATGCTAGGAATGCTGCAGCTAGACTCGCGACGAGTTCGTTTTAAGCCTCAGCGAATCGCCTTTAATTAACCGTAGGGGAGGGACGTAGTTTATTTGTATGTAACCTTGGCGTGTGTTACCCACACCTCGTGTATAAACTTTTTCAGAATCGCACGATCTCTCCCAAGTCAGCGGCCAAAACCTCTGTAATTCCTGTGCAATGGAATGCTTCAAGTAATGTTTGCTTGTGATATAGACTAGTCAAATCAGTGCTCCCCTCTTGTCATCGTATTTCCGCTCACCGCTCTGCCTATTGCATGGCGGCCAGCATCCGACAGCTCCAGCCACGGCTCTGATCTTCTTGGACCTTAAGAGCGCATCTTCAGTGTAAGCCCTAATCCTTACCAAAAAGCTTTATTACCGGGCCCCAAGGCTCCGTTGCCGGCCAGAGCCACATACGAAGTAGGTCCAGCTCCGTACATTGACTCCACGCGGAGAAACTTATTGGCGGCTGAGTCTCCAAGCGTGGTATGGGTCGAACTTGTGTCGGTCTTTGATATGTCGAATTTGTCCTACCCCATGCTGGGCTTTCCACCAGCCTCCTTGCTTCCTGATTTGATTTGTTTCTCACGCTCCGCCGGCGGCCGAGGAGTATGGCCGCAATGGTGCCAGCACGAAGGGGCGTTGCCAGTGCGGCGGAGCTTCCGCCGCTCAGAGGGTAATCGAGAATTCGGGTGCCTCTGGTTCCTGACGTGGAAGCTGTAACCCCCACGAGCGTCCCCAAAGTGCGAATCCGTGGAACACCCACACACCGGCTAAACCCTGACACCGTCTGGGGTAAAGTGATTTGCCCCCTCGTCCCCAGAAAAGGCCAAGAGGTTCGGCGGGATCGTCTCCCAACAGGCGTGGAGGCCATGTGGGAATGACACTGGCAGAAACCATAGGGTGCATACGCGAGCGAGTTCATGCTGCAAGTGCAAGGGGCCTCCCTGTCCGCGCCCCAGCAAGCACGTAACTTTACGCTGCATCACTTTATCCAGGGCTGCTGGCTGCAGAAAATATTTCCACGACATTATCAGCGCTATGAAGGGAGATTGGAGAGAGAGATAAAGCAAAGGGGTTTGAGTGGGCAGCAAAGGCAGAGGACGATCCGTAGCAAGCTGTTGCAATGGCCGTATTTATAGTTGGCAGAGGTGCCCCCCACGCACTGCACATATCCCCCCAACTTCGACTGCTCGATCTATGTACTCACATTCCCTTTTGTTGACTAAAGATATCAGCGCCGCAACCTTATATAGACGATGGCTCCCTCAGCAACTGCGGAGGAACTTCCGGTCTCGTTGGAATCGCGCACTCTCTCCTCTAAATCGGCGACAGTCGCCGCCAGTGTACTACACGGAGCTCTCGATCTGAGATTGGTGCGTTTCCAGCACAAGCATATGCGAGTTGCCCAAATTTCTTACCAATCATACAGGAAACCAGAAGTCTCGAGCAACCCTCTGCAGGCGAGCTTCAAATCCAGATCAAGTCCACCGGCATCTGCGGGTCGGATGTGAGCTACTATAAGAAGTTCGCCAATGGCGACCTCTGTGCTTGTGCGCCGTTGTCCCTTGGACATGAATCTTCCGGGGTAGTTGTGGGCATTGGCCCGCAAGTCAATGGATTTGCAATTGGGGACAAAGTGGCCCTGGAAGTCGGCATTCCCTGTGGCCAATGCGGAATCTGCAGAAAAGGGCGATACAATCTTTGCAAAAAGATGAAGTTCAGGAGTAGCGCGAAAAGCGTTCCTCACTTTCAGGGGACTCTTCAAGAGAGGATTAACCACCCTGCGATATGGTGCCACAAGTACTTATTTCTGAACGAAAACCATAACTATGGCTAACCAAGTTCAGAATCCCCGAGCACGTCTCCTTCGATGCCGCTGCACTTCTAGAGCCCCTGTCCGTCGCCATCCATTCAGTCAACCGTGCCGCCCCAACTCCTGGTTCAACTGCACTTGTCATAGGTGCAGGAACTGTCGGCCTACTTGTAGCAGCAATGGCACGTCAATCTGGCTGCACTTTTGTAACCATCATGGATGTCGACGAAGGCCGTGTGCAGTATGCAATCTCTAAGGGGTTTGCGACACACGGCTACGTTGTCCCCAAGCCTCTGCACCCTTCTGCCTCCTCTTCCTCCATTTTCATGTCTGGAACTTCTACTCCCGCCAGCTCAGATGGTGCAATGTCACCTTTGAGTAGCTACAGCAGCATCAGCGACCGCCTTGATGGCGCAAAAGCTGTTGCTGCGGATGTCCTTGCAGTCGCGAGACCGGACATGCTTGCTTTGGATGACGACGAAGATGATGGAGTGGATGTTACCTTCGAATGCACTGGTAAAGAGCCGTGCATGCAAACTTCTCTCTACGCCACAAAACCAGGCGGGAAAGTAATCATGGTCGGGATGGGCACTCCCATCCAGACTGTTCCTCTCTCTGCCGCGCACTTGCGCGAGGTGGACATTTTGGGAATTTTCAGGTACGCAAACACGTATCAGACTGGGATCAGGCTCCTTGCTGGAAAAGGCCCTATGAAGTTGCCGAGCTTGGACGGCATGGTTACACACAAGTTCAAAGGCTTGGGTGCTGCAAAGAAGGCGTTTGAGCTGGCAGGAAGAACGATTGACGATGACGGGAATTTAGTTATTAAAGTGGTGATTGAGGCTTGAGCTTAGGCTGAGCGAGATGCGGGACTAAAATCTGCTGGTATCCAGATTAGGAAGGGGAAGACTATTTAAGGAAGGTGGGCGGCATTTTGCTTTTTCTTTCTTTCGTAGTACTGGTAGACCAGCGTTGGACGGAACAAGAGCAAACTAGACTGCAGTAATGATCTCAATTCTATAATTCGCATTTCATGTCTACATCTCGGTCATGAATGATCGCTAGAAAACAGCAGAGTCTTGTTGTCACGTTTCCTTTTCTTGACGCCGTGTAAATGCAATCAATCTTCGCCACCCAAAGTATCCTTCGTGTCATGTTAGGAAAGAAGGTCACCAACGCCCATAACACCATTGAATGAGCCGCTCCCGCCCCAAGGACCACCAGATCTGTCAGATTTGGACTTAATGCCTTTCTGTGTATCAACGATGGCAAACTTCCTACCCGTCTCCCTAACGTCCTTGATACTCTGAGTAAGGGTGCTAAGCAAGGATACGAGGTTGACGTCGTTTTGTTCGGACATCAACTCGCGCTCAAACGCAACGGCATCGGCGGGGACAAGGAGACTGAGCCGGGTAAGAAGGGCTTGAATGGACCGGAGAACGGAATGGTTGACCGGGGTGTACTTCTTATCGGTTGGCTCCACATCTTCCGGCACAACATTCAATATGTATGACGGTGGTAGGTTCTGGAGGTAGATCGCAATTAGGTTGATCCGTGCATGTAACATCTTGATTGCGTTCGCCTTGGCGGTGAGAGAGGCAATCAATTCTTCGTCTTCCCGGGATAAAATTTGTTGTTCGTCCGCTTTCGAAGCTTCTGGATCTTGCTCCTCTGATTTCTTGCTGGCTCGTGTTTTGCCTTTACCCTTGTCGGATGATGGTTCGCTCTTCTCGACCGCCGGTGTCTTGGTTGTTCCATCCACCGCTGTTGCATTACCCCCACCTCGTGCCACGAAGTCAACACTGATCATCTCGGCTTCTCCGGTTTCAACACTGTATGGCAGTACCTTGAACCTCAATGCTAATTGGGATTCGCCATCTTTCATTTCCTTGTCTTCTCCGATCGCAGTCGCCAGTTCTTCTGCTTCGTAGTTGCTCTCGTAGATCGTTAGAGGCAGCTTGCCCCCAGCCGATCCCCCCAGAGCAGCCGTGGGGTGGAAGCCTAGCAGGATTGCGGATTCGTTATAAGAGTGGAGGATTTGGCGGTGAATTGGTAGATGCACAGGCTGGGGGCCGGAAGCTGGCAAAATCGAATACCAGCCAACGAGATCAAGTGCCGGGACTTTGTGCACATCTTTCACTGCAAAAGTCAAACAATTAGTTCAGTACTGTCAAGCTTTTACGATATATCTTACTCTGCTGCAGTCGCTCCTCAAACCAAGTCTGATTTAAGACGATCTCATCCTCAGCTTCGGCGAGCAGACACTCGAAGGCGTGCTCAATGGTGATTTCTCTGCCATTTTGTTGTCCCAGCAATGCTCCAACGACAGGGCCCTGCTGCCGACGGAGGGTGTGTCTCGTAATGTAGTCGGAGATTGTGAGGAGAACCAGTGGATGGAGTGCTACTTGGAGGCCTGAGTCGGAGGACTTTTGAGTGGAGATCAAAGGATTTGGGGCGTCAACCGCCATGATGCAGTACTGCGTACCAAGGGCTGTTATCGAAATTGTGGTGTGACAGAGTATGGTGAACGTTTGTTGATCTTTCGTGGGAAGATGGGAAGGCTGAAGCTCCCCAAAATACCCTAGCGGCGGTGCGGGGTGGAAGGATGGAAGCCTAGCGTGCCAGCATGGCCCACTTTTCACGTGCTTTGGCGAAGCCCCCTTGTCTTCAATCCCAACCTCATCGTTTCTCAAATATTTCACAGTCAACTCTCAGAAGTGTACACATTTGTGTCTGTGATCTGTCTCGCCAATCCCCAGTATCTTATGTGATTAAGATGAAACATGGACATGTCGGCCCTCATATTTTGGTCTCCAGCTGCAGGTGGATTCTTGCAGGATGCATTTCTTTGATCAATTGTCACGCATCTTCCTTGCTCAAAATGTTATATCTCTTTGGTAGTCCCCAGTTTCACTCGTTTCTCTCTTTTGGCTCTTCAAGTCTCTACGTCAACAATGGCCCAAGAACGGCCAATCGAGCTTCTAGTTACTCCTACGGCTCCGCCAGTTGCCGTCAAAACTCCCAATAGCAAACCAGCGACGATTGATAGCCTTTCTTCAACTGCCACCCCAAATTTCATGAACCGCAATGGCCAACATCTCCAAGGAATTACGCAGGTGAACTCTGGGCTAAATGCTAGTGAGGATGACGAGGTCCAATTCGTTTTCTCAGCACCGCGACGTAGGAAGAGAAAAAGGAAGAGGTATGAGACGTTGCGGTTTCCAGAGGGCTTATTGACCATGATGGCAGGCTTGAATTCTCATACTCGCCGTCCATGCTCAATCAGTGCTCCGTTCCCCAAAAAACCCCTCCACCAAAGCGAGATAGCACGACTCAATGGGATCCTCTTCGGCGGCGAAGTCTAGGTGTTCTGGAACAGTTGGAATCATGTCACATAGGGACCCGTGAGAGCAAGGATTATCTTTTTCGAAGAAGTTCTCTGCCAGTAGCACCCTTCGCAACAACTCCTCTTCCAAAGGCACAGGCCTCATGGTTCCCAGACGCCCGCCATGTCTCTCTTCAAGCTGTTCAGCCTCCTTCTCAATTGGCGTCGGTTCTTTGGTGGGATGAATCAAGACCCTTGGCACAAACGATTCAACCCACACAAACCGCTCAATTGCCCGACTGGTGGCCGTTGCACGGCTCAGCATCTAAGAAACGGAGACTTGACGGCGAAGTGCCATCAGCCCAAGCTCAACGTCTCAGCCAGTCCTCTCAGGTCTCACCCCGAACGACTCTCGTTTCTACCCTGCCAAAAACGGGGAGTTCTTTAGGAGATTCAGCAATGGGCACATCAGATATGCTTTGGACTCCTGATCTACCGTCTCTGCCAGGAACTCAGCCCTCGAACAAGCCACTGTTCAATTCTTGGTTAGATTTTGATTGGAACGCTTTCCACAATGTCGATTCGGCTCTCAATCAACAACAGCCTGTGCATCAAAACATGCTGACGCCTCCCAAGAATCAGGGGCTGCTAACCAATTCACCGCACCAGCCAAGAATCGGGCATTTCGAGCCACGAAACATGTGGCAACAAAACATCTCGCGAGTGCCGGCAACGCCGCAAGTACAACGCCGGCCCGCCTTCGAATCTGCCCAATCCTCTCCGCCATTTCAAACAAGGCCTCAACAAACTCGCCCTCAACATTTAGCCCTGCCTAATGTGCCAATGTCTTTTCACAATCTCTCCTCCCAGCCCGGAACAATTCTGTCTCAAAACCTTAATACGACCTCCACGGTTGCACCAATTCCCATCCCTCAGCACCAAGGACTCCAATTTCAGAGGCAGCAGACATCACCTTCGCCAAGGCCCGCTCAGGCGAGTTTTCAACGGCTACAAACAACCCCTTCGGATCTCCTGAGGAAACCATCGCTCTACAAGATTCCAGCTTGGCCATCAACCAAAGAAGCCAGTCTGGCTCAAATACCAATAGTGACCTCTCGGTCCCAGTCTCCTCCTGCCGAGTCCTATACAGCTAGCAGCCGGGGTTTTCAGTCTGGCATGAATTTCAGCGCTGCTAGACAGCCATCAAATTCAATGAAGCCTAATACGAACCCTAGCAGAAACTTTGAGAACAGATCTAACGCTTGGGCTGTAAATACATTCAGCAGTACACCTCGCGTTACGGGAGCGAAGACAGACCTGTTTGAGATTCCACGAGCTCGTACTAGTCACAAGCATTGTCCAAATCTGTATGCACGGATCAATTCTCCTACTTCAGTCGTTTGCTAATCTGTTTTTCTTTGTAGAATTGTCGATATTGCCGAGACATGTCAAGATCTCTTTCCTTTTGCTGAAGTCGCCGAACGGCACAGCGTACCGATTAAGAAAGTCTTCGATACTTTCTCTGCCATAATCCAGCTGCCGCTCCTTCGAAACGCAGATGACCGGAGACGGAACGGCTCTCTTGGTAAACAACGAATGAGGGAATATAGAGATGCCAGGAAGGCGATGGAGAAAGCGCAAGAAACAGAACGGAAGGCGCGAATGAAGGAACTGAGAGCCCGAGTTGAAGACGCTGGGAAGAGGGGCAAGGGACAGGCCGATCCCTCCGGGTTGCTGAAGACTGCGATTCTAAACAACGCCAACCAAGCGGGTTCCGGTTCATAAAAAATCCGATCATTTCCGAATAGCCTTCCTTCCACATTCTAAGCCCATCGCTTCAATTACTATGTCGGCTTCACTCTTCTCGCCACGGTGGCACACGATATTGCGGATCTACTCCCGATCAAACTCAGCAACGTAATCTATTTGTATTACAATGAAAAGGGAACATCCCACTCACATTCCTCCCGTTCACACCCCTCGGCGCCAGGCGGTCCCCACAACACAACACCATGCCACCTCACTCTGCCTGCATCTCTCAGCTCCTTTGTTCTAGCAGCATGTGCTTCCCCCAGCACGCGCTGCAACACCAAAACCTCCTGTCTCGATCTCGATTGCTGCATCTGCGCCATCTTCCGGTCTCGGAACTCATCGTGTCTTTGGTTGATCTCGGAGATCTTGAAGCTCGGGTGGCACGCAGCACAGCTGTCATCAATGCGCTGGAGAGGGCCGTGAATTCTGTCTTGAGGACAAGGCCTAAGGTCTCGTTGTGCAGCAGCTTGATGACAGTAGGATATGTAGTGGTTCAGAGCGTGCCCGCAGCTCATGATGGTGACGGTCCCTTGGCACATTGTGTCTTTGCTTTCGTTTTCCGTGGGGTTGAGTTGGGATGTTGGATGTTTAATGCCGAATGGACATTTAATTCTGCTTCTTCAGTATGGGTTGATCCTTCTGTTCGCATGTTGTAGCTGCTTCTTTGTTCTCGAATCTTGGACAATGGACTTGACTCAAAGCGAACAAAGAAGATTTTCCACTTCACGATAAAGAAAGCACTGCCTTCTATGACTGGAAGTGATGGTTTGATTTCTTTGTTCGGGAGGCTCTAGGGTCATATTGTTGGCATCTGCATCATCGGTCGGGCTAGAAATACATCATCCCAAGTTCCTGATATGCTGCAAGTACCAGGAATTTGGGGTCAGGAAGGAGATTGTTCGAGCAGAGGGAGACACCGAGTTTGGCTATCTGGTTGACTGCCCGTGGAGAGGTCCGTCTTCAACGACCCTTCATCTCAAGAACCAACTTCGCATCAATAACTCCACAATCCTCTTCAACCCCTCATCATCAACCCAATCAACCTACTCCCGAGACATCGGAGTCGGCATAAATCTTTGGAGTATCCTCAGGAGCAGAACGTTCCAAAAGATGTTGGACACTGCTGCAAGATGAAATACTACTCCCAGAAATTGAGACATACCTCATGCTTGCCAAACATCGCAGCAACCTCCGTAACCTTCGGGTCTTCCTTCACCCTGTAATCTCCTTGACGCTCTCCACATCTCAGATAAACCCGACCACCCAAAGAGAAGCCCCTCTCTTCCCGTCATGATCAATCAGCGTAGTGCTGTTGGCCTTCATGGTATCCTCCATTTTGCAGCAGGTGCTTCGGGCTGAGCCACGAGTGACCTGCAGCCTCAACATCCTCGCGAATCAGCTCCAAATGTGCGTCAGGGATGCACTCTTGTTTGACGTCTGCAAGTTGCATCTTGATAACGAGCGAGGCTTCGGAATCGGTGTAGGCGAAGAGAGTCTTCCATTGCTCGATTTCGGCGTCGGTGAGCGTAGAGCGTTGAAGGAATTCCGCGTTCTCTGCTAAACGACTGAGCCTAGAATAGAGGGGTTAGCAGATTGCCCTCTGCCGAGTTGCTCCAAGAGCAATCCAACAATAGAAGCTCTTTCGAGATGTCTCGAGAGTGCATGATGGAAGAGTGTGTCCCGGGATCTGGGGATAAAGAGAATAGGAACCCGATTTTCCGTACTCATCCATGAAGCCCATCTCGCCCACTGCGAATAGTTACGAATTTTGTATATTGAGTTTGCTGTGAAGGAGGTCGTTTTATAACTTGGGGCTCAGTCAATATGGCAATGGGACCCACCCACCCGAGCCACTCTCGCGCGCTAGTGCCTTGGTAAATTTGGCGCACCAGGCTGATGAGGAAGACGCGATGTAATAATGTCACTCAATTGACCCGTGGTTGCTATATCCACGTAGTTGGGGGACCGAAAGTTCAGAAAGAGCAACTTCGTTTCCCCTGAAATGGGAAGGTGCGCCAGGCGAAAGTGAACGTCATCCTTCGAATTTCAAAAGCATAGCGGCAGATGCGTTGAACTACAGGTGTAAGGAACATGCAATCTGGATTATCCATCAGAATATGGTATAGTCTATATTCGATCTCGCTTCTCGCTTCTCGCTTCACTCTAGTTTATTAGACGCCCTTCCTCGAACTGCCCTCTTCACTTGTTTAGGTACTTTTCCAAGTCCTTAAGCGAGCTCGCTTATCAACAGCCTCCAAAAAAAGGGGGTGGGGGAAGGAAAATGAATGAATTGGTATTCACTACAACCTAATAGAAAATACGTCGCGTTGATTTTTCAAGTCGCTGCAAGCAGCACGAAAGACCTTGTAGACGTCCTGTCTCGAAGCTTCAAATGGGCGTTCAGCTTCGGCAGCTCGAAGACTTCTTCAATACCGTTTCGCTTCGCATGATAAATCAAGCCTAGCACAGCTGGATATCGCCTTCCATCCCAAATTGTTGTAATGGTCTCTCAACATATAGGCGATGGGTTTGCAATTCGGAGTCGAGAGTAGGGCGAAGAAAGTTCCTTCGCCAGGAATAAACGTCGCCGGAATTACGAAGATCACGGCATAAAGTGACGGGATTACAGGGCATTTGGACCCTTGGCACCCCTCAGAACACAATTTAGTGGCTTGAGCCCGCTGTAAGGCCCTATGGCTCCAGGCCATATGCCCTAAGCAGATCTCAAGAGGCGCTGTGAGACATTCGCAAGGTATGAGATGTCCTTAGGGCCAAATAGCGCTGCTGGCAGAGCAACCATAGCGCTTGGACGCTAAATAGGTAGTTACTATAGGGCTCTTTAGCGAGATGTTCCTTGTAAGTACAGGGGAGGAGCCCTAAAAAGGTAGGGTACCCCTAGCTCCCGCTTTCTAGCGTGCTTTTAGGGCATTGGCCTAGAATCATAGGGTAATTTAGTGTCCAAGTGCACTAAAAAAAGATACTGAAGTGCTGTAAAGCACAAATGCCCTGTAATCCCGTCACTTTATGCCGTGATCTTCGTACCGTCCCCTTGTGCTTAAGGGAGATCTCCTCAAGAATTCTCAAGGCATCCGTAATCTTGACGTTTGTTCCGCGCACAGGTTAACGGGTGTTCTTCACATTTTCTGGAGGGGCTTACATGTTACAACTCAGTGCGATCAAATCTTCAGTATGTAGCAAGTACAATGAAAATCGAGCACTTCCGAATATTCGTTGTGCTGCAGGTACAATTGAAATTAGCGCTCACAAATGTTAGTAGAATTAGAACTAATACTCTCCAAATTCATTGCTTAGTGGCGCAGGGTAGAATAGCTCGCAACCGAAAAGAGCAATTACCTGCGAATGCTCCGCTTCCACTTCGTATAATTAAAGCCAAGTGGTTTCAGAATGTTCCTTGCTCATTGAGTACATTTAGAATTTTAGATCCCAAAAGCTTCCAATGTACAGAGGCAGTAAATAACAACTAGACCCCAGATGCTCCCAATATTCCAATAGTACAAAGAATGATCGCAGGACACTCGCAGAGGTTCAACTCTCTTCCCGCTTTAATCCCTCGGAAATCGTAAAGAGCCTTCTCAGCAACTTCTCAAGCAGTGTCTTGTGTTGGGGTAAGTGTAAAGACATCCATGATACAACCTCAGCATGAGAGAGCCCGAGTAAGATTGTCAGACGAGGGGGTTGGATAGGAAATATGGAGCTGAGTAGATATCTGTAGCTTTCACTTTGGAGCTGGTGGCCATACTTCGTTCAGAGCCGGGAAATGACAGATGATTGTGGCACGTGCCAACCTCCTTTAAATGCCACCCATCTTCTCGCTTACGATAGTCATGAAATCCTACTGTAAATTAATCTTCGACCTTGTGATGTCTATTCATTGATTCCTTGCCACTTGTTTAATTGGCAAAGAAGTGATGCTGAAGTATAGCAGGAACATGCATAAAAGTCCCAAGAAGCTGAAAGTAGCCCAGAGTTCGTGCGGTTGAAAACAACTAGGGATCAAAGCAACGGTAAATATAAGAACCCCTTGTGAGTCTAGGATCGAGTATTGTCCATTCCAACCGGCAGTCGTTGTCGTCTTGTGTTCATCAGTGTGTTAATGAGATCTTGCTGCGGCACCACACCCACCTGACCATCTTCGTCCCCAACCCTGTCACCTCAAACAGCGCAAACATCATGCCTGCTCTCAATCCTTAGGTATAAATATCTACAAGGGTCTCTGAACCTTAAACTAAGATATATTATGTTAGCGGGGGCTTCAGTTTAGTCATTCCTCGCCCAGCCCAGAACTTGAAACTTCGCCCCTTCACTTCGGCAGTTCGTAAATAAAATATGTTTCCCGGATCTGTTCCGGGGAGGATAGGCTTTTCTTTAGGCATGGGTAGGATAATAGTTGGACAAAATTTATTGGATTTCAACAGCCGACGTCGGGGAGGAAGATCGTCTAGATGTGATGTGAAGTCCGGATGCGGGTCCGGGGGACTTTGCAATTGCCGTGCCAAGATGATTGAACGCCCTGTTTTTAGGTCCGGGGATGCATCGCTGGGGAAATACTAGATACTTGCAGGAGATTTATTGACAAGTGACAGGCATGGCGCTGACTGTACGGTCTAGATCTCTATGGTCAGGGGGAATATCGGATTGCGAGGAGTCAAGAAGTTGTGCTTTTCAAGTAGACCAAGAATTCAGGTATCGATAATTGAGCTTCGATAACAAAGTACGTATGCTTAATGATAGAGTAGGTATACGATACTCGGTGTGCTGAAGCACATCATGTATGCATAAGTTCATGACTGAATATATCTGGCCATTCAACTCCCGCACTGTGCTAGCCAAGGGAACAAACGAGAGCGACAGTACGAATGAAAAGACACAGCAATGGAAACCGCGCAACTGCGGTCACCAGCCGAATTGTTCGCAGTGCAACTCGATACTCGGTCCTTGCATTTTGATTGCGTTGGTCGCCGTCCGCCTCACTTCCCACATCAGCGAGTCTGGACCACAGGCCGCAATGGCAATCCTCTCATCGTCGCCTGCAGACGCAACAACGTTCTTGATCAGTGTCTCGATGTCTGGTCGCCTAGGTAGTACGCCATGCAATGTCGAGTCCCACTCGTGTGTGGTGTTGGTCATGGAAGTGGAGTGCTTCTCAACGTCGTGTGGGAAGTTATCGAATCTCGAGTTGGAGGTGGATAGAGGGGAGTGAGATATGGATGGATGGATAGCATGATGTTTTTCATCACCAATCGGTGTGTGGTTAGCGACCTCGGACTTGTCTTCGGGAATGATAGGCGACATGGCTGGCAACACGGGGGATGGTGGACTCCGGTCGAAGTTCATACGGGTCGAGTGTAGTATAACATTGACCCGCGGAGATTCTTTGAGTTCCTTGAGCTCTTTGCTGAACCACTCGAAGATTTCTAGTGTCTGGGTAAGCAACCAAAGTTATATAAGCAAGGGCCCAATGCGCGCTTACCTGGCTCTCTGACAGCCCAGATGAAGTCAATCTTTGGCTTCGGCAAGTTATGGGACAGCTTCCTGACCATGTCGAGAGCAACTCCGAATGTGAAAGATACACCGCTGCCTCCGGCAATCAATATTACTTTATCGGCACACTTTGCGAAGTTTGGAACAGTGCCGTAGGGCCCGTCAAATGAGGCACGAAGGCTGGCACCTGGATGCTTGACAGCAAAGTTGTGAAGATCGTCTGTGAAGCCATCATATGCAGCAACGACAAGTTCAATAGAACTGAGAGACTTGCTGACGATAGTGAAAGGATGGGTCTCAAAGGCTCGGATCTCGGGGATCCAAACGAAGCAATGGTTTCCTGGAATGGCTCTTGTGGGAGCTCGGCGGAGGACAATGCGTGTTCCTCCATGAGGCAAAGGAACAAGTGTTGCTCGGTTGTCATAGCTATACCAAAAGAGCCTCCATGCTCGCAGTAGCCGATCGAGGCTCCACATTGATCATGCCACAACTGTGATGATTACTACTTTATTGGCCACTTGCGGTTGATGGAAGGCGATGTTGATGATGAAAACGATGTACGTGAAGATGTGGCTGAGATAGAACACCTCGTATCGCATTCGTTTGATCAGCACTGCGAATACCAGCATGACGAGAAGTGCCGATCCAGCCGTGATGCCGTGTATTTGCTCTATCTCCAACAGAAACTTGTTGAGATGCAGTCGGTCAACCAATAGAACGCACTGCATAGTTGCATGGAGAAAAGCGTGTGTTATGGTGATGTACCCAGCAGCTTGATGAAGTGGGTTGAGACGTTCATAAGAATAGGCCGTCAAGAACGCTAGAGGGGTGTTTTTAAGAGCCAAGAAAGTGATAAATGCAACATTGGCTATCGCCATCCTGTCTCAAAATTAGACTCGGCTGGTCTAAAGGTTGCCAAAGACCTACCATCCCAAGCGGGTCGCGATTCCAATCAAGGACGACCAGTCGATATTCGTCACTGTCAAAACAATGTTGATTCCAAGATAAACCGTAACAAGGAGCGCATGTCCAATGGACGCGAAGCCAGGGACTCGATGTGTAAGTACGTGTCTAACCATTCTAATTAAGGTGATCAGTCAAGTTTACTCTCCGAGGGACTTCAATATACCGAGCCACTGAAACTTGGGCCTTCAATGGCCCTGACTTCTGCATCCCTCTTGAAGCGCAACGGCTGTATAGGAAACGGCTCCAGTGAAAAATTGTGAACAAAATAATGACACCCGCCATGGCACTTGCAAAACGCTCCACCGAGTTATGATTCCACATTTTTGTCCTGAGTCTCGAGGCCATCTGGTCCGCTTGGGCCGCTATTGCAGTGGCATTTTCCACACTGGTTCCGTTGTTTCCTCCAGGATAGGGCGAAGTAGAGTTGGAAGGCATCTTGGAAATAGGAATGTTGACAGGAGCTTCAGAATATGCTCTGCAATCGAATATGTACCACTCCAAAGAAAGTGAAGCATATGTGAATTATATCACCCCGTCGGATTCCCGAACGAGATACCGGGTTTAAGGAGGTTTTCTTCTTCTTTGAGATAAAGTCTCCACAACGCGAAAAGGCTCTCGCAAAATGGATAAAACGATCATGTTGACCAAATAGACTGATAGAAAACATGGGCTTGCTGGACGTTATCATGGCCAGCTTATGACAAGGCAAACCTTATCTTCTCTGTATAATAAATCATGAGAGCAAAAGTTCGACGAAAAGCTTCGCCTGTGCCTCAACCTGGGGGAGCCTGCTCTCTTAATATGGATAAAATACCCCTTGTTGATCAACTGCGGAGGGGCATGACAAAACTTGACAAAGGAAATTCTCTGGTCAACCGAACTGTTCTGGGTCTCAATTTCGTAGATACGCTTCAGTATTGTTCCATTCCCACCATTCAGTACAAAGTGCTTCGGCAGATGGTTACTTTGATACCGACTTCGCGACATGAATGACTCCTGCGGATGACTTCAAATGACATACTCCTGTATTTCTTTTCGAATGTCACTGTACGTACCATACCTGTTCTCGCACGTTTCATGGCATCCCGTCATGAGATAGGAGTACTTTACTGGGCTGGGACGATGGGAGGCGGAGGCTTCCAAGGATGGAATCACGATCAAGAGCGGGCAACCCGAAAACAGTGATTTGGAACCCGTGGGAGCCGGAGGATTGGCAATAGAGAGCGTGCCATTGGATGCGGCCACTATGTGCCCATAACATGGTGAAAATCAGGGAATCGCGGTCATCTACCCGAGAGCAATCAATATTCCGTTGCGTGGAATAAGCAGCAGACTTCCAGTCGGTTGCGACATTCTCGATAAATCCTCGCTGACTTTGAAACGTATTAAGGTTAGAGTTTCTGTAGATCGAAGGCCTCCAGGCCCGGCAGTTTTCTTGCTGCTCTGCTTGCCGTGAGCTGGCCTAAAATTTGATATACCCTGCTTTGTTATCGTAGAATTTGATGTGCAAGTCTGTTGTAATAAATAGATAACGTCTTGTAAGGAATTAAGAAACCTCGGGGATAGCAGGCTCGGCAACGATTGGCGTTTTGCACTATCGATAACAATCGATGCCACAATCGTAAGGTATCGATTGTATCGATAGTGCAATCGATTATTTAGCGAGCTAATCCCTATATACGTATAATTTTACCCCTTTTCTAATGCCAGAAGATCCAGGAGTTTAGTAGAGTACTATACTATATATAATAAAGATAAGGCTCTCTCTTATTTACTTATTTAAAGAAAGTATCTAGAACTCTGCTCCTTTTCTAGTACTTAAGGTACTCCTGCATCTTGTCTCGGCTTTAAGCTGCCCCCTATTCTAGGTAGCTTACCGTATGACAAGCCCCTGAAAAGACTCCCTCTGGCTTATCGCTCGTTAGTACTATTAAGATGATATTAATAGCTATTCCTGCATCCGGTAAGATATAGTCCATACTAGTAAGGGGGTCTGTTACGATTTACCCTACCAAAAATCGGCCGCACTCATATATTACTGCCCCTCCTTCCTTTTCTCTCAGCATTTACTATTACTTAAAATATTTACTCTCTCTTTAATTCTTCTCTCTCTCTATATATATCCGATCGGCTGCCGCCAGCTTTACACTGGACCGTATACTTTAAGGCGAGCAAATCGAGCAAATCAGAAGGCCGAAATTTGGGTTTGAGCGTTTTGATTTGCTGCGATTTTGCGCGTACAATTGGTCATAAAGTGTAAAGCTAGCGGCAGCCGATCGGATAAAAGTATAAAAGTAGAAGGGGGGATTAGGGGATATTAAATTCAAGTAGTTAAAAGCCTTGGTTCTCATTATTAAAGGCGGGGAAAGGCCCCTTAATATAGTACAAATCCACTAGTCTCCCACTAGCCCTCCCATACGCTGGCTGCCTTGGGCCCATAAGCTTGGCAACTTTTAATGGGGGAGGGGTTAAGAGGGCGAGTATATAAAAGTAAAAAGCAATAAGTGGAGAGAGAAAGTGAGAAGTGAGCTTCGAGGCTTGTGGGTCGCGAGGAAAAGGGAGCCCTATAATTATAGGCTGCTTATCGCTAAATTTTAGGGCTACGATCGCTAAATTATAGGCTATAGGTACTAAAAATTTAGTGCTTAGCTTTCGTGGGGTGCGGGGTAATAATCGTTTAGTAATCGATTACCAATCGATTACAATCGATAGCTAATCAATAGTGCACACAATCGATTACTAATCGATTGCTCAGCAATCGTTGCCGAGCCTGGGGGATAGTACATGCGATACTCGAATTAGGCCTTAGAATTAATTAAGATAAATAAATATCGCCGAATTAGTTAGATCGCGATTTAATTAAAATCGCGATATGCTTGCTTAAAAGTAGCATCTTTAAGGATATTTAGAGCGCGTTTAGGAGGCGACGGCGATATCGTCGCATTCACCCCCTGCTACAAAATAACCTCGGTTTAGCCGAATAGGGTTCCAGTGCTGATTAGGCCTATTTTGCTGCATACTTATTAATATCTGAGAGAATTTTTTTAAACAATTGATAAATTATACAAATCAACTCTGGCGATAGCTTCATAATGCCTTGACTATTTTATTGGCTAGATTAAGGCGGGGGGTGGAGAGGGTGCATCAAATTCTAAGATACCAGCGCAGGGTATATCAAATTTTAAGCCACGTGAGCACACGCCGGATCCCCTGGAGGATAGGGGCTAAGCGAGAGGCATGGAGCGCCTGGCGATCCTGACCCAGTACCCATTTCGTACCTTGTACTGTACAGGACGTGGACGCCCACGTGCGCGTTATTATTCGTTCCGCTGCCGCCAGGAACGACTTTCGCTAAAAGTTGAGAACATTAAAAAGTCTCACATTGCAAACTTATTTTACCTAGTTAAAAATTTGTACAATTATTTCAAAAGAGCATTTTAAGTATCCCAAAGAGAAATTAAGTTTTTGTCATTTTTCGTAGCAAATTATTTTATGTCCGATAAGGTGGGTGTGACGGTGGAGCGGAGCAATGGAACGAGGCGCAAAGATTTCTATTTCCTGTCTTTTAGAATCTAAAGCTAAAGAGAAAAGGAGAGGAGTGAGGAGTAGTAGTAGATAAGTAGAGCACGACTAAAATCACTGAAACCCCGATCTAGCTAGTGAAACCAGTCTGTGGCAATCATGTGACGCCAGTCATCACATCACTCCCCCCCCTCAAAAAGCTCGGCCCCGGGCGTCAGTGTGCCACGAGAGTAAGTATAGTAGAACAAAGGAAAAGCAAAGGAGTGTAATAAAAACGGCAAAACAAAAGAAAGGGACCTATATCCTAGCTGCAACATACTTCATCTACTCTAACCTTGGTGGAATCTCACAGCCCTCGTCAGAATCGTCATCGCTCTCTGTACCAGAATCGTCATTTGCTGCGGCAATTGTGGCCCGGTTGCCAGAGCCAGAAGAAACAGCACTTGCAGGTGGCCAGAGACAGTTCTTTACCTGGTGTCCGTAAGAGCCGCACCTAAAGCATTGGCCGGACTGTCGATAATCCTTCCGAACAGGTGGGGACTGAGTTGGAAACGACGTGAGGGCACCAATTGCCGACGTAAGAGCACTAAATGGCAGCTCGCTGACGTCCATGGGGTCGCTAGCAATCTTGGGAACAGTGACGTATGGCGGGGCAGCTGTTTTTGACGAAAGCTGCTGGACGGTCCGCAGGAAATCGCTATAAACCCGGGGTAAAGTCAGCTGTTCGGCTAATCGAGAGCGAATCGCAGAATTGAGGCCATTGCGAAAACTGGAGATTTTATTGACATCGGGCCAGCTTTGGCCATTCGCTTCGTATAGGGTGCGTTCAAACTTGGCAATGTAGGTAGGGAGAGAATCGTTGCCTTGGCGGAGCGCATATAGCCTGTTCTTGGCCTCCGATTGCTTGTTTGGATTATCGTAGACTCGCGAAAGCTGATCGAGAATCGTATTATAATCCCACGATTGTGTGTGCTCTGCATAGGATAGCTGTTGCAGAACTATTGATTGGACGGAGGACTCCAAATTGAGGTAAACGTAGTAGAACTGGGCGGTAGCGTCTCCAATTGCCGTGCCATCGACAGATAGCTTAGCTTTGATTGAAGGGAGCCAGGTATCGAATTTGTACGTGCTTCCAGCGAACTTCTCTGGATCTGGAAGCTTTGGACGGGGGCGGGAGGACCGGGTTTTCGCAAGAGCAACCCGTAGAGTGGCGATTTCAGCCCGTAGGCCATCGAATTCGCGTTGGACTTGGGTTTGGAAGGTGTCCATTCTTAAGAGAATGTCGGTAAAGCTGGTAGAAAAATTTGTTAAAAAGGGGTGCCCTCTAGCGGGCCAGACAGACAGAATAGGTTGGTTTGGGAGAAGCTCTCACACCAAACGACAGACAGAGGGTTTTTGGGAGGAGTCCTCGCACCAAAATCAGACGGAACAGAACAGAATTGTGGATAGCGCTACGTAAATAGATAGATAAGTTGTAGGCTATCGCATACTATACCCGCTGCCGAGGATATAGGAGCTTTAAATAATGCGATGGCAGAGCGGAGCAATGGAACGAGGCGCAAAGACCTCTATTTCCCACCTTTTAGAATCAAAAGCTAAAGAGAGGAGAGGAGTGAGGTGTGGTAATGGATAACGACTGAAACCACTGAAACGCTGATCTAGCTAGTGAAACCAGTCTGTGGCAATCATGTGACACCAGCCGTCACAGTGGGGTTGCAGTGGTGGTAAAGAGCGTGGATTGAGCTGAAGGCTGTCTGCCAGGCAGCACTGGCTGTGCGCTAAGTCACGTGTAACAATAA